CTGAAAATCTATGTGTAATGGCATTGAAGGAATGTCATGATCAACTCTGTCATGTTTTAAAAAAAATATTCCAAAATTCTATTTTCAAATATTTACTTTTTAGACAGACAGAAGATTTACTTGACCCACGTCAGTTTGCTCACAGAGCCTTTGAGGATTAGAGGATGCCTACAGGGCCGGTAGAGGAGTAGAGGATGCCTACAAGGCCGGGAGAGGAGTAGAGGATGCCTACAAGGCCGGTAGAGGAGTAGAGGATGCCTACAGGGCCGGGACAGGAGTAGAGGATGCCTACAAGGCCGGGAGAGGAGTAGAGGATGCCTACAAGGCCGGGAGAGGAGTAGAGGATGCCTACAAGGCCGGGAGAGGAGTAGAGGATGCCTACAGGACCGGGAGAGGAGTAGAGGATGCCTTCAGAGCTGGGAGAGGATTGAGGATGCCTACAGGGCCGGGAGAGGAGGATGCCTACAGGGCCAGGAGAGGAGTAGGGGATGCCTACAGGACCGGGAGAGGAGTAGAGGATGCCTTCAGAGCTGGGAGAGGATTGAGGATGCCTACAGGGCCAGGAGAGGAGTAGGGGATGCCTACAGGACCGGGAGAGGAGTAGAGGATGCCTTCAGAGCTGGGAGAGGATTGAGGATGCCTACAGGGCCGGGAGAGGAGGATGCCTACAGGGCCAGGAGAGGAGTAGGGGATGCCTACAGGGCCAGGAGAGGAGCAGAGGATGCCTACAGGGCCGGGAGAGGAATAGGGGATGCCTTCAGGGCCGGGAGAGGAATAGGGGATGCCTTCAGAGCTGGAGAGAGGATTGAGTATGCCTACAGGGCCAGAAAAGGAGTAGAGGATGCCTACAGGGCCGGGAGAGGAGTAGAAGATACGTACAGGGCCGGGAGAGGAGTAGGGGATGCCTACAGGGCCGGGAAATGAGTAGAGGATGCCTACAGGGCCGGGAGAGGAGTAGAGGATGCCTACAGAGCCGGGAGAGGAGTAGAGGATGCCTACAGAGCCGGGAGAGGAGTAGAGGATGCCTACAGGGCCGGGAGAGGAGTAGAGGATGCCTACAGGGCCGGGAGAGGAGTAGAAGATGCCTACAGAGCCGGGAGAGGAGAAGAGGATGCCTCCAGGGCCGGGAGAGGGGTAGAGGATGCCTTCAGAGCTGGGAGAGGATTAAGGATGCCTACAGGGCCGGGAGAGGAGGATCCCTACAGGGCCAGGAGAGGAGTAGAGGATCCCTACAGGGCCAGGAGAGGAGTAGAGGATGCCTACAGGGCCGGGAGAGGAGCAGAGGATGCCTACAGGCCCGGGAGAGGAATAGGGGATGCCTTCAGGGCCGGGAGAGGAATAGGGGATGCCTTCAGAGCTGGGAGAGGATTGAGGATGCCTACAGGGCCGGAAAAGGAGTAGAGGATGCCTACAGGGCCGGGAGAGGAGTAGAGGATGCCTACAGAGCTGGGAGAGGAGTAGAGGATGCCTACAGAGCTGGGAGAGGAGTAGAGGATGCCTTCAGAGCTGGGAGAGGATTGAGGATGCCTACAGGGCCGGGAAATGAGTAGAGGATGCCTACAGAGCCGGGAGAGGAGTAGAGGATGCCTACAAGGCCCGGAGAGGAGTAGAGGATGCCTACAGGGCCGGGAGAGGAGTAGAGGATGCCTACAGGGCCGGGAGAGGAGAAGAGGATGCCTTCAAGGCCGGGAGAGGAGCAGAGGATGCCTACAGGGCCGGGACAGGAGTAGAGAGTGCCTACAGAGCCGGGAGAGGAGTAGAGGATGCCTACAGGACCGGGAGAGGAGTAGAGGATGCCTACAGAGCCAGGAGAGGAGTAGAGGATGCCTACATAGCTGGGAGAGGAGTAGAGGATGCCACTCTTACACTGTTAAACAATATATACAATCATCTTGAAACTTCCAATTCATTTGTACGAATCTTGTTTGTTAATTTCTCCTCTGCTCTTACTACCGTACAACCTCATCTGCTTATGCAAAAAGTATCTAACATTTCTGTTAATTCAACAATCACTAGATAGCCAATTTGTTACTGTAAATGGTATCCAATCATCTGTGACCTTTATATATACAGGCGCCCCCCCCAGGGTTGTGTGCTCTCTCCTGTTTTATTTTGTATCATCTTTTACAAATGACCGTGTCAGTAATTTTCACAATTGTTTAACAGTCAAGTTTGCAGATGACACAGTGCTGGCCGGATTCATAAAGCAATCTGAAATGGATTATCGCTCCCAAATTTAAAAATTTGTCCAATGGTGCAAGATTTATTTTCCTACTCTCAATATTAAAAAGACAAAGAAAATGATTATAGATTTCAGAAAAAAGTAGTTCTGCCAATTGTTATTGATAACGAAAATATTGATTTGGTTGAACAGTATAAGTATCTTGACGCCATTATTGATTTGAAACTCACTTGGAATGTCAACATATTAATATAAAGATCAGAAAGCAATTGTATTTCTCACTACGTCTTAGGTATCTTAAAGTTCATAATACAATACTCTCCCTGTTTTATAGAACATCTATTCAGAGCATTTTACTATTTAATGTTGTTAACTGCTGGAATGGGAGCCTCGTGTATTCAAAATAAATCTAAAATACATAATATTTTTAAATACAGCAAGCAAAATCTCAGGTACCATATTTCAAAACATCGGCAAAATTTATGAGCAGCAAGTTGTCAAAAAGCGCGTAAGATACAAAATGACAGAAATCATATGCTTCACTTTGAATACCAGTCACTACATTCTGGCCACCAACTGCGCATGCCGATGCTGACTACAAACAGGGCCTGGAAATCAATCATACCAGCAAGTAGTCGTTAAAATGATTATCTGATCAATACTTTTTAACAGTTCGCTGTTATCCTGCCAATTTCCCTTTTATCCAAGTTTACTCTTGCTGTGATATTTGCTGTGATATAGATATATAGTATATATAAATACACATACTTCAAAAGACCATTACTTGTCGTCACTGTGATAGTGTTCAATTCTCTACATGTTTTCACCTCTTTTTATATTAGTAAGTGCCTATTTTATGTACATATCTTAATATCATACATTTTTTATTTTTGTTCATATTTTAGCGCTAATCAACTGTGCAATATCAATTTCTCTTGGGATAAAAAAAGCCTTATCTTATCGAACTGACGCCTGTACAGTCTTTACTATCTGAACCATTAAGGTCTTTATTGGATGTTTAAATGTTTCCTTTTCTATTTAAATGCTAATAACAACATATATATTATAAATATATTACCCTTAAAGGTTAAAGAGGTACTGGCAGAGGGTACTTGGTAGAAATGAATTCATAAAAAGGCCTGTTCCACAGAAGTGTGATTAAAATTGTCAGCACGTGTCTCTTAATTATATTCTTGAAAAGAATGTTTGTTTCTGATAAAGAAAAGTAGTTAGATATCTATTAAAATGGTATCTATTGCCTTCATATTTTCTACAACAATGTATTGACGTATATGCATGAAACAGTTCTCATGGAGGTTGTCATCCGTGAGTGAGTGAGTGAGTTGGGTTTTAAGCCGCTTTTAGCAATATTCCAGCAATATCACGGCGGGGGACACCAGAAATTGGCTTCACACATTCTGCCCATTCTGCTCTTTTGATCAATACTGCTGAGTGTACTTTATCCTGCTATAAAGTACACTTTTTGAGTTACGTCATAATGGGCTGACGTCATGATGCTGTTCAAATTACCTCCCATGTGATCTAACGTTTCCTTGGTAACATTGTTCTTTCATTACTGTCATTACAAGATGGCGCATCCAAAATTGGTTATTGGGTAAATAGTTAATTAAACTTGTAGAATTTGAATGTTATTACCTAGGACAAAATATGGCAAGATGATGTTAACCATCTCTCATGCCACAGACTAATCCCAAACAATTTGAAACTACTGAGTCTGTACCACAGCAGTCACAGAGTTGTCCGAGGCGGGCATTGGTTCCCTATGAATCATGTAGGTCTCTCAAGATAACAGAATGACCAATCCTTGAAATTTTCATAATCACACATACACCTGTTGCTCAGCGTACAGCATTGAGCAGAATACAGCAGTCAAACAAACCAGCCACCGTTGCTCTTCCTGTTCGTCCCACGGCGACGCCATACCACGCCTGGGGATGTTGCTTTACGTTGGTTATGGTATCATGTAGCGCAACCAACTAAGTAAGCACACTATTTCATTGTTTGTAGTTTCTTCAGTCTGCTAACATTAGTGGCAGAAATAACATTGCAACATTGTACAACAGAAAACACCTCAACTCAAAATAACTAGCGACACCCAACTTTGGCTATGTTCACATGTTAGGTCAGCCCCACAATGCACTTGTGGAATGCTTGGAGTCACATGATTAAATTGAAGCAAATTTATATAAAAAGTTAAATTTTTAAATCCTTCCTGTTTCCTATAAGGAAATATGACATATTTAAATAATAAACTACTAATTCTAGTGGTGTTGTATTATGTTTAAAAAATAAATATGTCTCTTAACGTAAGGGTACAGGCAATCAAGCGGAACAGCCCGTCAGTTAGCCATGTTCGAGGATTTTCAATTTACGGCATGTTTAGTACAGATTTGATTTTAAACACATCTCCAGTTTAACACACGATAATTTTTAAATTCAGCATCTTAGAAAAGTAATAAAGTTTGCTCTACCCCCATGTGGAGTGTAATAAAGTATAGTTTTGCCCTGAATTATTATAGATAGAGCATGAGGATGCTTACACAATCTTCTTTGAGCCTCAGGTGTTTTGATCTATACAATAACCTTAAATGTTTTTCATCTATAATTCACAGTATTCTTCACTGTAGAATCAACTGTGAGATGATTGTAAGTAGAACACTGAGATTCAAACATTTCCACTGCTGATCATAAAGACGGTAACTGTGGTACAAATGTTGTTGAAAGCAAAGCACCACGGTACATATAACATACTGATGAACTTTTCTGATGACCACTATGTCATGGGACAGTCACTCACCTCTTCTCCAAGTCTCGGAGTGTGGTCACCAGCTGGGTCGTCTTCTCCTCCAGCTTGCTCACCATGTCGACCTTGTGCTTCATGGACCCTTCACAACTCTGCAAGCCACACACAAAACAACATGAAACCATCCTTCCTCAACCCAGGTCCAACTACATGGTAATTGGAATACAAACAAAAACAATTCAAAGGTCAATTTACATTAAAAAACCTCCATTTATTTGGTTCCCTTCACCAAGTTCAATTGACAACTGATTGGCCAGTGCATGTGTTGTATCACAAAGGTCTAACAATAATTACAGGGTAATTTGGATGATTGACGAGGGAGAGCAAGGCGCCAAGTCTGGCAACAACATTGTCGCCATCTGCCCCCTGTGCCGCTGGCAACGTGCACCAAGTCTGCATCAACACAATCACACGGGATGCACAGTAATTGAGTTGCAGGTGAAGATGCCACGACCCCACTGGGGAGGCAGATAACGGAGAGGATGGAGAGGGAGGGAAGAGGAGGGACTACACCCCCGCTTGCTGACTCTCTCTGAAGCAGCGCCCTCCTCAGCCGACTATATATAGTGTGAGCTGGGAGAAGGGATTGTGCTGAGACTCGACAGGCAAGTACCAAGGATCTGTACAGGTGTCCGAGACTGCTTAACCCCACACGCACCAAACCACAGGTAAGTTATCCAGCACCTTACCATCCATGTCTTCATGCACTTGCTTCAATGTGTGTTATTATTACACTGTTACTTTATATATTACCTTACTGCTACATTGGGCATAAACTAGTATTCTGTGCAACACAGTGAATGAATAGTCTTATTTGTGATACAAAGTGCAAATAGTCATAGGGACTATACTGCCATTACACATTGTCTTAAGAGATACACTATTAATATATGTATTAGATAGATATATCGATATATATTCTTATACACTACACTATAATAGCTGGTGTATAGTCTGAACATAAAGCAATAATATTCTTTACTGTTCAGTGATATATATATATATATTGCATACCATATAGTGTCTAGTCTTTAACCCTAAGTCCGAGTCTAGACAAAAGACTGATGTCTTGTAGGCTCAGCCCCTGATGCCCCATATAAAGAAAGTGATACAAAAGGGGCCTCTGACTGATAACGATGATGGCCCTGGCACTGACACATCATGTTCTACACTGGCCATATACAGTGTTCCCGTTTACCGGTAATTACCAGTTTTTTTACTGGTAAAATAAGGCTTGGACCGGTAAACCATGTGACTGCTTGTCCCTGCAGATCAGCAAATAAAGTACCTTATAAATCTTAGTTGTTGCACAAAACATCCGCGTTATTCATATAAGTATATTTTTCGAACGAAGTCAACTTGTCTGTTACCATCAGGTTCCCCTTGTCTATTTTTGGTTAAATATATATTTGTAGCAACTTAGTCTCGAAATATTCAAAAAGAAAAGAGAAAATTATGGGTGAACTTTGTGTGAATGACATAAAGATCTAACTAAGTTACTTCACAGATGAACTCATTGCACTGAACATAATGTAGAAAGAATTAAAACAAGATACTTTTTAACTTTCTTATGTTTTTTTATTTGTTGAAAGTTGGGACTGACAAAAATTAGTGGGGCCTGGTAATTTTTTAGAGTTGCCAGTCTGCGAGGACAGGCAGTTTCAAAAGCGAGCTGGAACACTGGCCATATATAACATAAGCACCATAGTAAGTGCCTTGGACGCTTAGAAAATTGACAATGGGGGCACTTCTTAAACCATAAACAAGTTCATTTGTTGTCAGAGATCGAGTATTGGTGAACAAACTTTGTTCAAACGTAGATGATTTTTTTTATAACGGCTACAACTACAAGGCAATCATATTCCTCATCTCTATAGCTTTTTTCTGTAAATAATCTGTAATTTACACAAGAAAATACAGGCTGTCATGTAAATTTAGCAGGAGGCACAATTACTTCCAGATTAGTCTAGAATTGTTGTCAGAGGACACTTCTTGGGTCTGTGCGCTTAATACGTCAAATATGGTAAAGCCTTGAAACTTGCCACAAGTAGCAGAGATGCTGCCTAAAAATGTCTTCTGTTAGCTAATAATTAGACGTTGTCCAAGCTCTGCTTGGCCACTTACTGCGAGTAAACTGATTGCCTGTACTCACTGATAGTTTCACAGGAGCTGAAACAGTTAACTTGGACTGATGACAAAAGAATGTTAAATTTGAAAATTCTCCTTTTTGTGTGTGTGTGAAACTTCTTTTGGCAACATTTTGGCCAAGATTTATGTGAGAAAAACTTGGCAGTAAAATATTGCTTCTTCGAAAAGAAGCAAAATTCCAGCACTGAAATGGTCTTATGGATCCAGCTAGGTATACTACTCAAAAGAAGTTAAAGAACACCCGATTCTTTCATATTACTAAAGTTGATCTATCACGCCACTTTGAGACTACTCCCCGAACATGGCTCTTAGCATCATGTTCAGTAGATTTTAATGTTATTAATCACCTCCCAGAGAAATGTGAATACGATACATGTTGGTTGATATATGAAGAATTACTCATATTCAAGAGACAGTAGCTTGGCTCAATGCACAAACGAAAAAAATGTTATGTTGTGTGAATCGACTCTCATGAACGCATCACATGTGATGTCATAGATCCATGACTCGAGAGTCAGATTGGCACTGTAACAGACACTTAACACAGGGATACAAGTTATAACACTTAACACAGGGATACAAGTTATAACACTTAACACAGGGATACAATTTATAACACTTAACACAGGGATACAAGTTATAACACTTAACACAGGGACACAAGTTATAACACTTAATACAGGGACACAAGTTATAACACTTAACACAGGGACACAAGTTATAACACTTAACACAGGGATACAAGTTTTAACACAGGGATACAAGTTATAACCTCTAACTACAAAACTGGCTGCATAAACGGAACAAGTAAATGAGAGTGATCGTCCTTACAAAACAAATCATAATGTATCGTAGAAAGAAAACGTAATTTTTTTAATCACCGCAAAAGTTTTGGTTTTAACACTTCAGGAAAGCTGTCAATTACAACCCTCACATCAAGTTACCCACAGATCACATTTTCTTGATCTCAGTCCTCCAAGTTTGTTTCCTTGTTAGGGAGCCAAGCGTCTACTACCATGAATTTTTTAGGAGCCAAAACTAAGTTTTTAGGAGCCAACAGTTATCTAAAACAGATATTGTTGCCAGTTATGTTTACTGTTAGGTAGCCAAGTGGCAAGCAGTAGATAAATTTAGGTCGGCAATCATAGATTAAGTCGCATTTGGCAACCAAAATGGCTGCTTCTTTGAGGGCTACCTCTTCGTGATCTCCATATGAAGACATGAGATCCTGTAGGATGGACAGAGTATGTGACACTCGGCTGTGAGTCACAGCACCAGGCCGTCTCATGACTCACTGGGCACAAATAGATGTCACTTTCTGTCTTTACAGGCATTTTGACATTTATCATTTCAACATAGACATTTATATATACATTTCAGTACACTTCAGTAAGTTCACTACAATTCAGTACACATAAGTAAACTTTAGTAAACTTAATATACTTTAAATGAGACACAAGCAGAACTTCTGCTTGCTAACTCACAATCAGTGCTTTAATAAAGTCCAGTACAAACAGGGCCCCTTTCATAGAGCTACAGCTATTGCTGTTTGGAATCAAGGCCCCTTTCAGAGAGCTACAACTATTGCTGTGTAGAATCAGGGCCCCTTTCACAGAGCTACAGCTATTGGTGTGTGGAATCAGGGCCCCTTTCATAGAGCTACAGCTATTGGTGTGTGGAATCAGGGCCCCTTTCAGAGAGCTAGAGCTACTGATGTGTAGGTGGATCATAAGGTACACTGAATGGTCAGTTCTCAGGATATTTTTCTGAAAACATCGAAGAATTTTCTTGATTTTCCCCACCAATTTATCGTTTTTTAATCCTGAGAGTTCAGGATCAATATTTGATAATATCAGTTTCTTTAATACATTTTTAACAATTATGAGTCTGTTTCTCCAATTTGTTGCCTGCAACTCTACTGAGCAGGTTTGAGCTTTCTCAAAAGGAACAATTTCTTCAGAATATTCTGTAATTTTAAAACTACAACACACACGACTGACTACCTCACTGAACTGCAACACGTCCAGATATGTTCACCTAAAATAAAGTACGTGTCATGTCAGTCTATACAACATGAATATCCCAACATCCTCTGTTTTGTTCAACATCTGCATTGTATCAAGTTGTCACAGTTTGAAAGATCTACTTCTCCAAAACTTGTTATTAAATACATCTTTTTACATGCGCTTCAGTTTCTCAATAAACATAAAATATCTTTCAATTCCGAATAAGAATAAAACTGTGTTTCTATGAGAAGAGCAGGTGCCCCTTAGTGAACCAGTCTCCAATTAATCTGACAAAGTTCTCTCTTCTAAAAGTCAGCCTGCTTGTAAATGACACTGAAGCACTTGCAGACAATAACCATCCAATAAGCTGTGAAGGACAGCTCAGATACAAAGTACAGATTGGGCACATTGAATACAAAAAGTCCAACATCTCCACAGTGAGTTCTGGAGATACGTAGTCCTTCCACCATTCAAGAGAGACTTTAGCTGACTGGAACAGAAGGACTCAGGTCAAGCATGTCTGGAGTTGTCACAGTGTACAAGGTCATTACTTTGTCTCAACCAATGGAAGATAAGGGTAGAATAGGTCTTCAGAAACCCATGCTTGCTGTAAAAGGTGACTTTGCTTGTCATAAGAGGTGACTAACAGGATCGGGTGGTCAGGCTCACTGACTTGGTCAATGCATGTCGTATCCCAATTGCATGGATCGATGCTCATGATGTCAATCACTGGATTGTCTAGTCAAGATTCAATTATTTACAGACTGCGGGCATATAGGAGGAATATTGCTGAGTGCGGCGTTAACAAACAAACTTAGTCTCATAGGGTGGAATAAATGTGTTAACATCCCAATATCTTGGCTGGACCATATTGGAAGATATTTTTTATTCTTATTTATTCAACATTCATGACATGTTTTCTTTGAAACTGACGGCCATCAACCAGTCTACACTGTTCTGTTCTACATGAAACAGGGTATAAAATCAGCCAGGCCTTTAGTAAATGTCATATGAACAAACAATAGTTGTAAGCTGAGCCTCTCAACAGCAAGACCTATTCTTCCCCTTGTGAATACTTATATTACCAAAGCCATCCTACAAATCAGAATTTAATTGAGTTGCTCAATGAAAAACTAACTGTTCAATTTATTTCATTTAACGTTCTTCCATTTAATATTTAATAATTGTTCTTTTAATCTAAAAAATAGTTTTCAGGAGACAAAAAGATAATTGATTGGTTGATGCTAATGTTATAACTTCAACCAATCAATTATCTGTTTATCTCCTGAAAACAATTTTTCAGATTAAAAGAACAATTATTGAATCCTTGGAATCAATGTTCTATGAGTAGGATGTCTGTCTGCTCTCTCAGTTGTCTGCAAGGTTCTTTTTACCCAAAGAATATCTGCAAGAAGTAGGTGGGAAATATAATTGTCTAAATAACTCAGTTTAGCGGAGGGCAGGATGAAGCCTTAATCTGCTGACACAGTCAGCTTTGTTCTCCGCACAATTGTTTGACGGAGAAATATTCCCAAGATCGTAAAATACAAACCATAGCCGTCTGTCTGCTTCAGTCGTACTACCTAAGTTACATCCAATATTACTCCATCACATCTTTGATCATCGAAAAATCCTATAAAAAGTTCACAAATAAAAAGAACAACATGATCCTTGTAATTCCCCAAATATTCTACAATTCCTACATAAAAGATATTCTAACATTCACGAGGCAATTTTAAACTGAAATTGAGCAAGATGGGTTTAGGCCGAAGAGTGGTTACACAAAATTGGACAATCAAAGGGGAAAAAACTTAATCACCTCAGAAATGAAGAAAGGGAGTCTAGCAAAAGGGAGGTAGATGAAACGCTCCAGGATAATACCAGTATTATAATACTGATGAAAGAATTGCAAAAGTCACAAGCAGCAGTCTCTGACGGCCAGTCAGTGTTATACAACTGGGCCAAGCTTGTGCAAGTGTTATCCAACCACAACTTTTTGGGGCTTGTCACTGCTTGCAACACACATTGGGACATTGTTAGGAATGTGTGTTCAAATTAAATTCCATGGCACTGACACTATCGGCATGGACACTCTGTCAGCACTGACACTCTGTCGGCATGGACTCTCTGTCGGCACTGACACTGTCGGCATGGACTCTCTGTCGGCATGGACACTCTGTCGGCACTGACACTCTGTCGGCATTGACACTCTGTCGGCACTGACACTCTGTCGGCATGGACACTCTGTCGGCATGGACACTCTGTCGGCATGGACACTGTCGGCACTGACACTCTGTCGGCATGGACACTCTGTCGGCATTGACACTCTGTCGGCACTGACACTCTGTCGGCATGGACTCTCTGTCGGCATGGACACTCTGTCAGCACTGTGGTTTTCATAGTTTCTGAGGATTAGGCTGCCTGTGACGAAGTCTGTCAACTGTCATGAGACCAGGAGGGCTCACTGCTCAAGGTCAATGCAAACCTTCCAAGGCAACTTGGGTTATTACCTCTTCAGGCAGAGGGGAATGGAAATGGAATGCATGCTGATCTGTTGACTCAGGCAATAAATCATCAAGCATTCAAACTGAGGGAGTGAGTTGGGTTTCTTTTTGTTTTAAACATATTATATCAACATTAAGTGGTCATATGGATTGGACAGGAGTTGTTGGGATGGCTTGAGCAAAATCTGGGTTTGATGTCACTTTGAACAAATTCCAGTTATATCATGGCATGGCATTATTCCAGTTATATCATGGCGTGTCAGCATTCCAGTTATATCATGGCATGTCAGTATTCCTGTTATATCATGGCATGTCAGTATTCCAGTTATATCATGGCATGTCAGCATTCCAGTTATATCATGGCATGTCAGTATTCCTGTTATATCATGGCATGTCAGTATTCCAGTTTTATTACGGCGTTACAGTTTAATGTCTTGAAAAAGCCCAAAGTTCTGTAGGTCACAGACGTTTACTACTTTGATGAAATCCATAGTAATGACAAAACCAAGAATAATAATCCATGATCATAAGATCCTGGCACCCCTAAAGGACACAACTCAGCACAGTGAATTGCATTACTGAAATGACTTTGACACCTGTGTTCCCTCATTTCATGCATCCCTGTGTGGTATGCAGATCCAGATGACATGATCTGAAAGCAATCATACTTTATGTCATTCAAGAACTGACTTCCACCATGTTTCAACGTGGCGTGGGGATCTCCACCTTGCACTTCTCTGTTTCAGAATGTCAGTACTATCAAGACAAGGGGTGACTGTGTCGGTGCTGCTGCTGCTGCTCACAGTACACGCTGTTGGAGGCCAGAACTACCACTTCAGCAACGGCTGGCACGCAGGCAGGAAACGTGGCGGGGACAGCACCAGCTGCGCCTTCAGGAAAGACATCCTCATGCTTGTCAACAAACTGATCATGGTAGGTGTACCCAGAGTGAGTGAGTGAGTATGGTTTTACGCCGCCTTGAGCAATATTCCACCAATTGAACCCATTGAACCCATGTGGGAAATCGAACCCGGATCTTTGGTGTGAAGAGCAAATGCTTTAACCACTAGACTACCTCACTGCCCTCGGTGTACCCAGAGGGAAGCCATGTCACTGTGTAGAATACTTGAGTAAATCACTTTAGTTCAAGACTGTCAGACAAAGCAATATTAACAAGATGACCACCATGATATCATATCTAAGGATGGGAACTAAGATTGCCAAGAATAACTTCAGAGACTGGAACTGAGTTACACATGTACATTTATCTGCTGGGGGATTACTATAGCCCTTTTCAGGAAATAGGAATGGATGCTGTCCATCTGTCCTTCTGTCACGTTTCATTCCGGAGCAGTACTAAAAAAACATGAGAGATATCTTAACCAAACTTGGCACATAGATAGGTCTAGTGGTGAACTGGAGCCTTTTGATAGTTTGATATTTTTCGACTTTCCATGGCAACGACTTTGACTTAGACTGAAAATGACGGTTTTCGGAAGGGATATGAGTATTTCATAAGTTACTCCATAGAGTGATAAATCATGAACTCCTTTGGAACATTGAAGATAAATACCAGTCGAGTTATCCACATTGTGAGACAAATGGACGACTCATCATAGATCATAGTGCTGTTTCTTCCAGGTGTTACATCAAGTGAACAAGGTCTCAGTTTTTATATACTAGTATATGTGACACAAAATCCAGTAAGTTGACTGTTGTGAGGCCATTGCAAAGGAAGGAGGAAGGCACATGTAGCCACAGTAGACTTCAGTTAAAAAGGGTCCCACTTTACCTGTATTTCAGGCTTCAATTCTACTGCAACTTCAGCTTGAAACTTTGTCTTTACAAGACTTTAGTAGAGGACAAAACATTTTAGTATTTGTCATGTGGATATGAAAGTGATTATTTTCTCCATGTTTACTCCAGGAGGAATCATCTCGTGTGGCCCATCGCTGCCAGAACGGAGTGCCGCACATGGACTTCACAGAGGTGAGTCAGACCCACGCTGGACCTTTACGAGCATACACCAATCATACCTTGAGTGAGTGAGTGAGTGAGTGAGTGAGTGAGTGAGTGAGTGAGTGAGTGAGTGAGTGAGTGAGTGAGTGGTTTAACGCCACTTATAACAGTACTCCAGTCATATGACAACATGTCAGCTTATTGTGGGAGGAAAGCCGAAGTGATGCAGGTCTTAGACATGAACCACTGAAGTCTGCAGTATGAGTATGGTGCTGGCCAATCCAGGACCACAACCAAGTCTGGGATTTGAACCTGTAACTGTAAGTACAGGATAACTGTACACCTGTAGGACTTGGTACAGTGACTGGCAGTGTCTTCAACTACTAAGCACTGACGCCTCCCCTCCAGCTCACAGTCACTGGCTGGGCTACCATGTAACATTAGGGTTATCTCCCTGTGGCTTGAACAAGTCAAAATGACTGTGACTGTCGAAGCATTGGTGCACACTACAGATCACAACAAACTGAGAGAGACACCACGGCAAGAGGACTTTGTCCAGGAAGACCAGACTATGTGCAATCTGGTTGTGGTGTGGGACACACGACTCAGCTTGGCCACTGCGTCTTGATGCATCAGTGCCATTTTGTACATGAATGTCTCTCGTCATCCATCTGCTCTTCCCTCCAATCCAGAGGGGAGGAGCTGGTTTTCTTCACCACTTTTATTGTATTAAGATCCTGTTCCCAAAAACTTCCCTCACAAAAATTCAGTGTCCTCTATCAAGATTCCTTCCAATTGTAGTTTATAATCAATACAGTATGCAGAAGCTTAACTGAGTCAAAGTAGATCCGGCATCTGATGACAAAACCTAAAATTCAAAAACCCAATAGCATACAAACAACACTGTGCCTAATTTCACAATGTAGCCTTATCAGCTTGTATACCTGAATATCGTTACATGTCTTTATTTATGACGATGAGAACACTACTTTATTACCCGCAAGGAAGTCTTTTACATATTGTATACATACCGACACAATGGCAAACAAAGATACTAAAACAGTAAAACAATACAGAACTTAATCGGTAAAGCATGCCTCTTGTACGTCTTATGTTCACATGGAGCTCAATACACTGAATATGATACTTTTCCCACACACTACAGCTCTTTGTGACTATCTGATTGTATTGCAAGCACCAGGGTTCCCTCCAGGAATGTTCTGACATAAGCCCTTCATGTGAAAATTTTAAATATTCCAGAGTTGTGCCCATACAGCACAATGTTAAAATGCCCCATTGTATTTTTTCAAATTTAGGGGCTAAAAGCACAAGGCCCAGCCTAGAATTATCCCTGTAGTACCCTCCCACAAGGAGCACAGAGCTATTCATCCCGGAGTTATTTTCCATGACTGTTCAGAGACACCTGTATTCTCCATTGCAGCCTGACACAGTGGAAGCTGATTCTGACAACCAGCTGACAGACAAGCGATGGAAGTGAAGATCGTGAAGCAACTGCCTTTCTCGCCCAAGCCACCCCTACAACACAGACGATGACCACACAGCAACAATTCAGCAGTTAAATACCAGCAGCGCCAACAGGAACCAAATAGGAATTAACTCACGTTGTTTATTATTTTACAAGATTAGTTCACTCCACCAATGACCCCAGATCCTGACTCTTTCCTTGCATGGAACCTGTCAGTACAGGACTATAACTGGACGTGTACCACTAACCCCTCCAGCTCTCCCCAGCATCTGCCAGGTGTGCCCAGGTGTGTCCTGCTGATTATCCAGGTGTATATCCAGGTGATTATTCAGGTATATATCCAGGTGTATTATCAGGTGCATGGCAGGTATGAAGTTGACTGCTCAGAGACGTTCAGTCAACCCTGTGTGTTCAGTCTGAACACATGCATGCATGGTTTGACGAGGACAATCATGTACATACTTGCAAGGAAATAAATCAGTTTTCTATGGAAGATATCTGTTGGTTACAATCATTTTAACAAAGGTGAGATAGTGAGTTGGGTGTTTATTGCCACTTTGAACAATATCACAGTTATATCACAGCATGTTGGCTTGGTGTGGGAGGAAAGCTGAAAGTGATGCAGGTCTTAGCGATCCCCCTCACCCCCTATGAAACTCACTATAACAGGCATTAAAAAAGTGAGTGAGTGAGGTGGTTTTAAGCCCACTTTGAAAAGTACTTCATATTTATTAAGGTAGGAAAGCCTGAAGTGATGCAAGTCTTAGATGTTTACCACTTTGGTGAAAACCACGACCTATGGCACTGATAAGTCAAAAATCATAATCAGTAAAAAGGAAGGATTCGAACCTGTGAGCATAGGACCTGTTCCTGCCTCTGATCATTACTGTGAATTGCCTCTTACACTTTATGAGGATTCCTTCCCATCTGCAGTATTTGTCACTTTCATGCTGTAATTCAGTATTCAGAAGCTTAGGCTAGTTATGACAGGTATCTTCTAAGTACAGCACACCCTTGGAGTTGTGTCCCCTTGGTGCTAAACACGCTGGATAATTTACTTCTCATACACAACTCATCATGGCCTCTCACATGGATTCTGTCACACCCCAATGTCCCACCTTGGCACAGCTCATTCCGCTGCCTTAGCCTAGTTTTGGTATGTTTGTTTGTTTGTTTGTTGTTCAACGCCGCACTAAGCAATATTTCAGCTATATCATCTGTCAACTTCTAAGAAATGCCTATCAAACAATATATGACAGCGGTCTGTAAATAATCAAGTCTGGACAGACAATCCAGTGATTGACATCATGTGCATCGATCTATGCACTTGGGATATCATGATTGGTTGGTTGGTTTGTTGTTTAACGCCGCACTCAGCAATATTCCAGCTATATGACGGTGGTCTGTATATAATCCAGCCTGGACCAGACAATCCAGTGATTAATATCATGAGCATCGATCCAAGCAATTGGGATCGATGACATGCATCAACCAAGTCAGCGAGCCTGACCACCCGATCCCGTTAGTCTCCTTTTACGACAAGCATAGTCACCTTTTACGGCAAGCATGGGCTGCTGAAGACCTATTCTACCCCGGAATCTTCACGGGTCGGGATATGATGACATGCATCAACCAAGCCTGACCACCCGATCACATAAGTCGCCTCCTACGACAAGCATAGTTGCCTTTTACTGCAAGCATGGGTTGCTGAAGACCTAAAGCTATTAATTCATGGCAGTCTGCAAATATTATCAGGAATAGATCAGACAAACCAATGGGTGATGATGTGAGCATAAGAACAACGCCGGTCTGAACACACCCTACATCAGTGAAAACCATAGTTGGAACCCAACAGGTGTCCTTTCATACATTTCCTTTTCAGTCTACACTGAGTGATGGGAACAGGTGTAGAATGTATAACATAACAGCAAAACATGCATAGACATTACATGTTTGGTACAACTCTTGAAAAGTCAACATAGATATGAGAGCTGGCATAACACTGGCTTCCTCGTGATCAGATAGAGGAGGCACAGAGCTTTGTGTCAAGTTGACTTTGTCTCCAATTATCGAGTGAGTGAGTGAGTTGGGTTTGATGCCGCTTTGAGTGAGTTGGGTTTAATGCCGTTTTTAACAGTATTCCAGTTATATTCAGCTTAATGTGGGAGGAAAGCCACAAGTGATGCAGGTCTCAGACGTTTACCACTTCGGTGAAACCCACCAGCACGGGAATGGTGCTGACAAACCTAGATACATAATCGGGGCGAACCGGGATTCGAACCTAAAATCATAAGTTTCTGGAGTGCTCAAGGGACGCAACTCTGCACAGTGAATCGCGGCGCCTTAGATGATTGGGCCACCCGTGCCCCCAATGCCGCTTTGAACAGCGTTCCAGTTATATAATGGTGTGTCAGCTTAGTGTTGGAGGAAAGACAAAACTCATGCATGTCTCAGATGTTTACCACTTGGGTGAAACCCATGTGCACAGGCTTAGCGCTGACCAACCTACAAACATAATCAGGGCACACCAGCATTTGAACCCTTGAGCAAAGGTTTCTCTGGTATCCAAGGAACACAACCATCAGCAATAAATATCTGACAACAGCCTCATGAAACTTATATTCGAAGCAGTACTTTGTGACTCCAACACAGCGTATATAAACAATAAACTGTATGTTGTAGAGGTTCAGAATTCATCTCTACCATAAAAATGTTGGCTATTTACCTTAGGCTTCAGTTGGCTCTCTGTGAGGCTGTATGAGTGTATGAGTGTATGAGGCTGTGTGTGAGGCTGTATGAGTGTATGAGGCCCTGTGTGAGTCCCTAAGTGAGTCCCTGTGTGTGAGGCTGTATGAGTTCATGAGGCCTTGTATGAGGCCTTGTGTGAGGCTGTGTGTGAGGATGTATGTGAGACACTGTGTGAGACCATGTGTGTATTGCTTTGTGTGTGGCTGTATGTGAGACTGTGTGCAAAACTATGTATGTATGGCTATGTGTGACACTGTGTGTGTGGCTGTATTTGAGATCGTGTGTGAGACCATGTGTGTGTGGCTGTGTGTGACACTGTGTGTGTGGCTGTGTGTGACACTGTGTGTGTGTGTGGCTGTATGTGAGATCGTGTGTGAGACTGTGTGCGAGACCACGTGTGTGTGGCTGTGTGTGACACTGTGTGTGTGTGTGGCTGTCCGTGAGATCGTGTGTAAGACTGTGTGCGAGACCACGTGTGTGTGGCTGTGTGTGACACTGTGTGTGTGTGAGGCTGTATGTGAGATCGTGTGTGAGACTGTGTGCGAGACCATGTGTGTGTGGCTGTGTGTGACACTGTGTGTGTGTGTGGCTGTATGTGAGATCGTGTGTGAGACTGTGTGCGAGACCACGTGTGTGTGGCTGTGTGTGACACTGTGTGTGTGTGTGTGAGGCTGTCCGTGAGATCGTGTGTGAGACTGTGTGCGAGACCACGTGTGTGTGGCTGTGTGTGACACTGTGTGTGTGTGAGACTGTCCGTGAGATCGTGTGTAAGACTGTGTGCGAGACCACGTGTGTGTGGCTGTGTGTGACACTGTGTGTGTGTGAGGCTGTATGTGAGATCGTGTGCGAGACTGTGTGCGAGACCATGTGTGTGTGGCTGTGTGTGACACTGTGTGTGTGGCTGTCCGTGAGATCGTGTGTGAGACTGTGTGCGAGACCACGTGTGTGTGGCTGTGTGTGACACTGTGTGTGTGTGAGGCTGTCCGTGAGATCGTGTGTGAGACTGTGTGCGAGACCACGTGTGTGTGGCTGTGTGTGACACTGTGTGTGTGTGAGGCTGTATGTGAGATCGTGTGTGAGACTGTGTGCGAGACCACGTGTGTGTGGCTGTGTGTGACACTGTGTGTGTGTGTGGCTGTATGTGAGATCGTGTGTGAGACTGTGTGCGAGACCACGTGTGTGTGGCTGTGTGTGACACTGTGTGTGTGTGTGGCTGTCCGTGAGATCGTGTGTAAGACTGTGTGCGAGACCACGTGTGTGTGGCTGTGTGTGACACTGTGTGTGTGTGAGGCTGTATGTGAGATCGTGTGTGAGACTGTGTGCGAGACCATGTGTGTGTGGCTGTGTGTGACACTGTGTGTGTGTGTGGCTGTCCGTGAGATCGTGTGTGAGACTGTGTGCGAGACCACGTGTGTGTGGCTGTGTGTGACACTGTGTGTGTGTGTGTGAGGCTGTCCGTGAGATCGTGTGTGAGACTGTGTGCGAGACCACGTGTGTGTGGCTGTGTGTGACACTGTGTGTGTGTGAGGCTGTCCGTGAGATCGTGTGTAAGACTGTGTGCGAGACCACGTGTGTGTGGCTGTGTGTGACACTGTGTGTGTGTGAGGCTGTATGTGAGATCGTGTGCGAGACTGTGTCCGAGACCATGTGTGTGTGGCTGTGTGTGACACTGTGTGTGTGGCTGTCCGTGAGATCGTGTGTGAGACTGTGTGCGAGACCACGTGTGTGTGGCTGTGTGTGACACTGTGTGTGTGTGAGGCTGTCCGTGAGATCGTGTGTGAGACTGTGTGCGAGACCACGTGTGTGTGGCTGTGTGTGACACTGTGTGTGTGTGAGGCTGTCCGTGAGATCGTGTGTGAGACTGTGTGCGAGACCATGTGTGTGTGAGGCTGTATGTGAGACTGTGTGCGAGTCCATGTGTGTGTGGCTGTGTGTGACACTGTGTGTGTGTGTGGCTGTCCGTGAGATCGTGTGTGAGACTGTGTGCGAGACCACGTGTGTGTGGCTGTGTGTGACACTGTGTGTGTGTGAGGCTGTCCGTGAGATCGTGTGTGAGACTGTGTGCGAGACCATGTGTGTGTGAGGCTGTATGTGAGACTGTGTGCGAGACCACGTGTGTGTGGCTGTGTGTGACACTGTGTGTGTGTGTGGCTGTCCGTGAGATCGTGTGTGAGACTGTGTGCGAGACCACGTGTGTGTGGCTGTGTGTGACACTGTGTGTGTGTGAGGCTGTATTTGAGATTGTGTGCGAGACTGTGTGCGAGACCATGTGTGTGTGGCTGTGTGTGACACTGTGTGTGTGTGTGGCTGTATGTGAGATCGTGTGTGAGACTGTGTGCGAGACCACGTGTGTGTGGCTGTGTGTGACACTGTGTGTGTGTGAGGCTGTATGTGAGATCGTGTGTGAGACTGTGTGCGAGACCATGTGTCTGTGGCTGTACGTGACACTGTGTGTGTGTGTGAGGCTGTATGTGATATTGCCTTTGATGCTGTGTGTGAGACCATGTGTCTTTGGCTGTGTGTGACACTGTGTGTGTGTGACTGTGTGTGTGGCAGTGTGCTTGTACTAGTCCGGACTGATGCTGATTTATAGTGCTAACTCACTGAGATGCCATGCCACAGTTTAACATGAATACCCCACTCAGACACAGTATACCGACTCCTAGCTGATCAGTCCTTGTTTTAGCCCCTAAATGCCGAGTACCAGACAGGGTAACAACAAGTACCATCTTTTAACGATTTTTAGTATGACGTGGCTGGGGATCAAACCCCGGACCTTCCGCTCTCCGGGCGGACGCTCTACCACTTGACCACGGAGACAGTCCTATTGGAGGATAATCAGTTGCAGTGCTAAAACACAGATTGTGTTTGGGTTTGGCTGGACGGCAAGATCTACAAATACAGGCCCAGTAATTGAAATTGATTTGTGTTTCACACTAAGATGTCGATGCATTGAATTGGTTAAATTCCTGTGTATCTTAGCAGTTTCCTTTCAGCTGTATCAAGGTGCAAGTGCGACCACACACTGTGGGAACGTTGCTCTTTGATTCCGTTGGCCAACTGCAGTCGTGAGTACTGCTAACAAGATATCTTTCCTTAGTTTCATTTAGAGTTATCTCCCTTTTTGGGTACTCCAGCACCCATTACAGCCCATGTGCAGTGACTTCTGGCACCTTCCACGACAGGGCAACTTGTGGCCTTGTTCACTTCATGCATAGAAAGGAAAGATGCCGAGCTACAGATGAGCAGCGTATTTGCGTAAAATACTCCCTCAAACTACTCAAAACTCAATTACTTTCAATTTACTTGCGTACAGAAACGCATGCATTAAATGAAAAACTCAAATGTATAAAAACAGCACGCGTAAATACCCAATAAAGATTTTTCAGCATGCATACAACGGTGCTAATTTCCTAAACACAATAACAAGCTAATTTACTTTCAAGTCAAGCCTATATATTTAGAACAGATATATAAGTCTAAAACATTATTTTATTTTTTTTAAATCTTAAATTGTACACTAATTTGGGGAAAGACCCAACAGATGAATATATGAGTAAAACAATATTGGTTACCCAATTGAAAATGTAATAACCCAAAAGTAACCCTAGAATAATAACTCAAAAACTCAATTGCTCAAAACGTTATCAGGAGTTCTGAGGATGTATGGATCACAACCACATCACATCATCTAGGAAATATGTCTTCACTGTCCTGCACCTATAGAATAATAAGACGACTAACGAATACTATTAATATCTCCTACAATAGAAGACCCATGTTTCATTCCGTCATGTGTACAATGGGTGAAGCCCAGCTAACAAAACTGACAAGTGTCAACTAAAGCATTCATATTTTTTACTGTTGTGTTTTCAAACCACTTTATTAGGATATCATAATTATCACTGAAAATGCAATAAAACAGAGTTTACTCAGTCACTAATATCTCATAACTTCACCATTGCCATGGGGACTGGCCTAGCCCTTGTCCTGGACGAGGGTTAGAGGTCGACGGATGCCAGATGGAGGACCACATTCCATCCTTTTGAGCAGACTGAACATTTACACATGGACATTTTACAGGAAAGATAAGCCAGCCCCGTAGATTAGCCGAGGTATTAACTTGACCATTGAAATACGAAAGAAAATGATATGACCCGGAGATAAGCCGAACCAGGAAGTGAAAGGCAAAAAACACAGCGAAGTCGGACTGCAAGACATGTGCCGGTACTCGCAGATATTCAATAATATAAGATGAAAAACGTTGTAATTATATTGAAAAAGCCATTATTATTTCTAATAAAGATTTAACAAACCAGTCATCCACTTTCATAATGTGGGAAGCTGTTTCTCTTGTCTTTTTTTAATCTCATTATGATATTAGATAACTAAATTGGTTCACAATAACTTGCATTCATCACTCCTATGTTAACCCGTGACCCCTGTGACCACTGTGACCACTGTGACTGTTGTACCTGTGGGACTGACAACATGGTTTTACCTTACTCCATCACTACCCGACCCGTGAAGATCCGGGGTAGAATAGGTCTTCAGCAACCCATACTTGCCGTAAAAGGCGACTATGCTTGTCGTAAAAGGCGACTAACGGGATCGGGTGGTCAGGCTCGCTGACTTGGTTGATACATGTCATCGATCCCAATTGCGTGGATCGATGCTCATGATGTCAGTTATTTACAGACAGCCGTCATATAGCTGGAACATTGCTGAGTGCGGCGTTAAACAACCAACCAACCAACCAACCATCACTACCCTGTCTGTAATTGTTTATGATGCAATAGGACTCAATGGCAGCCAAGAAGTTTATTGAAGAAAGAAAATGTACGGAGGATGTTGGATGCCATACAATCAAAAAAGGCAGATCCTTACATCAAAGACAAAAGTTCACTTCAGTTAAACAGTGTGTTAAGAAATGCACATAACTAGTACAGCTTGTCGCAGATCAAATAGTAAGAAATGAGTTTGGACGAGACAAAGAACAGTCAATAGAGTGAGCAACACTCCACTTTAGTTGGTCATGATATCATATCATCCTGGTCAAAAACAACCACCTCATCACCATTCTACCTGGGCCGAGTATCGCCTGGTATCTTGTGATACAATTTGTATTACAATACAGACTGACGATACTAATGGTATCACGATACACCATATCAAATAGTAAGAAATGATGAAATCACTGAAATACAGCTCTAAAACCTCTTTCTTCATATATTTATTTATTGTTATCTCAAAACCTAAACAAAGAAAACCACAAGAACAGAACAGTTTGAATCGAAGGGATGCTTATAAAATGTAACAGTAAGCCAGCATGGTCTCAGGTACTACATCCTTGTGTTCTGCCATGCTTCGGGGTGGCGCTATGCTATATTTGCAAGCTCCTTGCAGCGATAGCCCGTTCACGGAGCTCTTTAGACTATCGCTGCCACCAGTCAAAACTCCCCACTGTGATAGGTGGCCCCAACCATGCTTGGAGTTGAACTCGCAACCGATTGACCGTGATGTTTACAAAAAAGTGACGACTGTCGTGACGCCGATTACACTTACCCCTGCTAAATTACTTTCTTTTATTGTCAATTTAAATTTCTATTTCATTAAAACTATCATGTTATTGATATTATAAGAATGTAAGGCAGAAGTTGGTTGATTTTCCGTAAGTCTGCAATCTCGAACCAATCTGATTAAACAAACAACAAATTAAATTCATCTGGAAAACCTTTTCAAAATGAACTATGATGGCATTCCCAAAGACATTAACAAAAGTATAAATGGTGCTACATTTTGGGTTAGAGGGCAAATTTCAAGATTCTTGTAATGGCCGTGCCCACACTGGTGGCAGCGATGTTACCGAGAGTGTAACGAAGGTGTCACCCGCTGGGAAGGAGCTTGCTACTTCTGCCATAATGGGAGGTAACTCTATTACTCTATTACTGTTCTATTAATAACATATTGCAATATCACATACTGATGATACAAGTATCGTATGTACCTAAGTATCGATGATATCCTAGGTATTGTGAATCGTTAGACTCCTAGTTCTAACCTTTCACAAATCCCAGAACACTGGACACTTAGTCGGCCCAGAATCTTCAGACACTGATGCATCGGTTGATCATGATTTTTTACTTCTCTATACAAGTATTGATCACAATTGCACACCAAGTATAAACTCTCGATTCTTTAACAAATGTTACACCAAACACTAATTACTAGTGAAAATGAGTAATGAAAGCATAATAACTTTCATCCATTGCGCCATACTTGTCAGGTATTTGGCCATCGTGTCTGTGAAAAGGATGGCTTACGTACCACAGATAAGAGCAAATACAAGTATCGTGATACATATCGGATCGTGAGCAAGGTATCATGATACGTATCGGATCGCACAGCTGGTGTATCGTCCCAGCCCTATCATTAACAGAGCAACAGATCAACAGGAAAAGACAAGCCACTAGGACATACTACACCCTGTTATTGGTGTAGACAGTTGAACAGTTACATGGATACATGCTCCATTACCCAACACTGTAATACATGGGAATTGATGTCAAAGTGTTCTAGTCACATCCGGTGCCATGAACAGTCCCACGCTGTCTGTACAGCTTGCTGGGAATGTCGGTCATCTCGAAACCTGTGATCCTACTGAGGCAGTCATAACATTTCCCAGTCCCGGGATTGAAACATGAACATTCTGAAGTTAGGTTGCAGCCTTGTCCACAAGACGACAAAAGCGTTTATGGTGTCAGCGTCCAGACACCAGGACATTGTTTGGGTGCAGCAAGTCCACAGATGATCAAGGTACAATGAAGTAGATCATACTGCAACAGTCACACAATCTCAGCCTGTTCTCCATGTGAAGGGCACGTGAAGGCTATTGAAGGGCAAATGGCTACCCCTTAATTGCGCTCACCATCCACAGTACATAACGACACCGTTGTTCCAGCTCATGATCAGAATTGTTGACATAGGCCGCTGACTAAAGGGTTATCACTCTGCAGCATCACAATTAGGAAGTGTTTAATACTGTAGAACTTAGTGGAAGCCACAGAGATATCAGGGATTTATAGCATCATCATGGCATACAAATATTATTGCATAACAATTCAGACAATCCTCCTTGCATCACAATGGCAGATGGTGACATGGTGTTATCATGGCATTACTTCGTACACACAGGCAGCAGTGATTAATTGTGCAACATTACAGGCTCAACCATATGTTCACACAGCAGCAAACATACACAGTCATTTAAACATCACACTATGCATTCAGCATGCTCAGTGTCAGGGCTGGGGGCACCTGTTATGTGTCGCCACACCAGTATTGATGGCGTGTGATAGGGGCACCTGTTATGTTTTGCCACATCAGTATTGATATTGTGTGACTGGGCACGTGTCACGTGTCGCTCACCTGCAGTTTGTGGTACATCTCCTGGTTTATGGACTTGATCTCATCCAGCTGATGACGAAGTGTCACAATGCTGTCCTGTTTCTCGTGGATGTCCCGCTCAAGGAGTCGCATCGCCAGCTCCATCTCCGTCTTCATCCCGATCTGTAGCTCCAGCTCGCGCTCCACATCCTGGAAACATTGTACACATAGAAATACACAGTATGGCAAGGTGAAACAATCATAGCTTAAAAGGTGTCTTAAACCCTGTTTGTCCCTGACACCAGCCCCATCTCTGTCCCTCTGAAACCAGCCTCATCTCTGTCCCCCTGACAACTCACCAGCCCCATCTCTGTCCCTCTGACACCAGCCCCATCTCTGTCCCACTGACACCAGCCCCATCTCTGTCCCGCTGACACCAGCCCCATCTCTGTCCCGCTGACACCAGCCCCATCTCTGTCCCTCTGACACCAGCCCCACCTCTGTCCCCCTGACAACTCACCAGCCGCATCTCTGTCCCTCTGACACCAGCCCCATCTCTGTCCCCCTGGCAACTCACCAGCCCCATCTCTGTTCCCCTGACACCAGCCCCACCTCTGTCCCCCTGGCAACTCATCAGCCCCATCTCTGTCCCCGACACCAGCCCCATCTCTGTCCCTCTGACACCAGCCTCATCTCTGTCCCTCTGACACCAGCCCCACCTCTGTCCCCCTGACAACTCACCAGCCCCATCTCAGTCCCCCTGACAACTCACCAGCCCCATCTCTGTCCCCCTGACACCAGCCCCATCTCAGTCCCTCTGACACCAGCCCCATCTCAGTCCCTCTGACACCAGCCCCATCTCTGTCCCTCTGACACCAGCCCCATCTCTGTCCCTCTGACACCAGCCTCATCTCTGTCCCTCTGACACCAGCCCCACCTCTGTCCCCCTGACAACTCACCAGCCCCATCTCAGTCCCCCTGACAACTCACCAGCCCCATCTCTGTCCCCCTGACACCAGCCCCATCTCAGTCCCTCTGACACCAGCCCCATCTCTGTCCGCTGACACCAGCCCCATCTCTGTCCCGCTGACACCAGCCCCACCTCTGTCCCCCTGACAACTCACCAGCCCCATCTCTGTCCCCCTGACACCAGCCCCATCTCAGTCCCTCTGACACCAGCCCCATCTCTGTCCCGCTGACACCAGCCCCATCTCTGTCCCTCTGACACCAGCCCCACCTCTGTCCCCCTGACAACTCACCAGCCGCATCTCTGTTCCCCTGACACCAGCCCCACCTCTGTCCCGCTGACACCAGCCCCATCTCAGTCCCTCTGACACCAGCCCCATCTCTGTCCCGCTGACACCAGCCCCATCTCTGTCCCTCTGACACCAGCCCCACCTCTGTCCCCCTGACAACTCACCAGCCCCATCTCTGTCCCCCTGACACCAGCCCCATCTCAGTCCCTCTGACACCAGCCCCATCTCTGTCCCGCTGACACCAGCCCCATCTCTGTCCTGCTGACACCAGCCCCATCTCTGTCCCTCTGACACCAGCCCCACCTCTGTCCCGCTGACACCAGCCCCATCTCAGTCCCTCTGACACCAGTCCCATCTCTGTCCCCCTGGCAACTCACCAGCCCCATCTCTGTTCCCCTGAAACCAGCCCCATCTCTGTCCGTCTGACACCAGCCCCACCTCTGTCCCGCTGACACCAGCCTCATCTCTGTCCCTCTGACACAAGCCTCATTTCTGTCCCTCTGACACCAGCCCCATCTCTGTCACGCTGACAACTCACCAGCCCCATCTCTGTCACGCTGACACCAGCCCCACCTCTGTCCCCCTGGCAACTCACCAGCCCCATCTCTGTCCCTCTGACACCAGCCTCATTTCTGTCCCTCTGACACCAGCCCCATCTCTGTCCCTCTGACACCAGCCCCATCTCTGTCCCCCTGGCAACTCACCAGCCCCATCTCTGTCACGCTGACACCAGCCCCATCTCTGTCCCTCTGACACCAGCCCCATCTCTGTCCCTCTGACACCAGCCCCATCTCTGTTCCCCTGACACCAGCCCCACCTCTGTCCCCCTGGCAACTCACCAGCCCCATCTCTGTCCCCGACACCAGCCCCATCTCTGTCCCTCTGACACCAGCCTCATTTCTGTCCCTCTGACACCAGCCCCACCTCTGTCCCCCTGACAACTCACCAGCCCCATCTCAGTCCCCCTGACAACTCACCAGCCCCATCTCTGTCCCCCTGACACTGGCCCCATCTCAGTCCCTCTGACACCAGCCCCATCTCTGTCCCTCTGACACCAGCCCCACCTCTGTCCCCCTGACAACTCACCAGCCCCATCTCTGTCCCCCTGACACCAGCCCCATCTCAGTCCCCTTGACAACTCACCAGCCCCATCTTTGTCCCCCTGACACCAGCCCCATCTCAGTCCCTCTGACACCAGCCCCATCTCTGTCCCTCTGACACCAGCCCCACCTCTGTCCCCCTGACAACTCACCAGCCCCATCTCTGTCCCCCTGACACCAGCCCCATCTCAGTCCCTCTGACACCAGCCCCATCTCTGTCCCTCTGACACCAGCCCCATCTCTGTCCCGCTGACACCAGCCCCATCTCTGTCCCGCTGACACCAGCCCCATCTCTGTCCCTCTGACACCAGCCCCGCCTCTGTCCCCCTGACAACTCACCAGCCCCATCTCAGTCCCTCTGACACCAGCCCCATCTCTGTCCCCCTGGCAACTCACCAGCCCCATCTCTGTCCCCCTGACACCAGCCCCATCTCTGTCCCTCTGACACCAGCCCCATCTCTGTCCCCCTTGCAACTCATCAGCCCCATCTCTGTCCCCGACACCAGCCTCATCTCTGTCCCTCTGACACTAGCCTCATCTCTGTCCCTCTGACACCAGCCCCATCTCTGTCCCCCTGACAACTCACCAGCCCCATCTCTGTCCCCCTGACAACTCACCAGCCCCATCTCTGTCCCCCTGACAACTCACCAGCCTCATCTCTGTCCCTCTCACAACTCACAGGCCCCACCTCTGTCCCCCTGACAACTCACCAGCCCCATAGCTGTCCCCCTAACAACTCACCAGCCCCATCTCTGTCCCCCCTGACAACTCACAGCCCCATCTCTGTCCCCCTGACAACTCACCAGCCCCATCTCTCTCCCCCTTGACAAATCACCAGCCCCATCTCTGTCCCCCTGACAACTCACCAGCCCCATCTCTGTCCCCCTGACACCAGCCCCGCCTCTGTCCCCCTGACAACTCACCAGCCCCATCTCTGTCCCTCTGACACCAGCCTCATCACTGTCCCGCTGACACCAGCCCCATCTCTGTCCTCTGACACCAGCCCCATCTCTGTCCCGCTGACACCAGCCCCATCTCTGTCACGCTGACAACTCACCAGCCCCATCTCTGTCCCTCTGACACCAGTCCCATCTCTGTCCCTCTGACACCAGCCCCATCTCTGTCCCGCTGACACCAGCCCCATCTCTGTCCCCATGACAACTCACCAGCCCCATCTCTGTCCCCCTGACACCAGCCCCATCTCAGTCCCCCTGACAACTCACCAGCCCCATCTCTGTCCCCCTGACACCAGCCCCATCTCAGTCCCTCTGACACCAGCCCCATCTCTGTCCCTCTGACACCAGCCCCACCTCTGTCCCCCTGACAACTCACCAGCCCCATCTCTGTCCCCCTGACACCAGCCCCATCTCAGTCCCTCTGACACCAGCCCCATCTCTGTCCCTCTGACACCAGCCCCATCTCTGTCCCGCTGACACCAGCCCCATCTCTGTCCCGCTGACACCAGCCCCATCTCAGTCCCTCTGACACCAGCCCCATCTCTGTCCCTCTGACACCAGCCCCATCTCTGTCCCGCTGACACCAGCCCCATCTCTGTCCCGCTGACACCAGCCCCATCTCTGTCCCTCTGACACCAGCCCCGCCTCTGTCCCCCTGACAACTCACCAGCCCCATCTCAGTCCCTCTGACACCAGCCCCATCTCTGTCCCCCTGGCAACTCACCAGCCCCATCTCTGTCCCCCTGACACCAGCCCGATCTCTGTCCCTCTGACACCAGCCCCATCTCTGTCCCCCTGGCAACTCATCAGCCCCATCTCTGTCCCCGACACCAGCCTCATCTCTGTCCCTCTGACACTAGCCTCATCTCTGTCCCTCTGACACCAGCCCCATCTCTGTCCCCCTGACAACTCACCAGCCCCATCTGTCCCCCTGACAACTCACCAGCCTCATCTCTGTCCCTCTCACAACTCACAGGCCCCACCTCTGTCCCCCTGACAACTCACCAGCCCCATAGCTGTCCCCCTAACAACTCACCAGCCCCATCTCTGTCCCCCCGACAACTCACCAGCCCCATCTCTGTCCCCCTGACAACTCACCAGCCCCATCTCTCTCCCCCTTGACAAATCACCAGCCCCATCTCTGTCCCCATGACAACTCACCAGCCCCATCTCTGTCCCCCTGACACCAGCCCCGCCTCTGTCCCCCTGACAACTCACCAGCCCCATCTCAGTCCCTCTGACACCAGCCCCATCACTGTCCCGCTGACACCAGCCCCATCTCTGTCCCGCTGACACCAGCCCCATCTCTGTCCCGCTGACACCAGCCCCATCTCTGTCACGCTGACAACTCACCAGCCCCATCTCTGTCCCTCTGACACCAGTCCCATCTCTGTCCCTCTGACACCAGCCCCATCTCTGTCCCGCTGACACCAGCCCCATCTCTGTCCCCCTGACAACTCACCAGCCCCATCTCTGTTCCCCCTGACAACTCACCAGCCCCATCTCTGTCCCGCTGACAACTCACCAGCCCCATCTCTGTCCCTCTGACACCAGCCCCATCTCTGTCCCTCTGACACCAGCCCCATCTCTGTCCCCCTGACACCAGCCCCATCTCTGTCCCCCTGACAACTCACCAGCCCCATCTCTGTCCCCCTGACACCAGCCCCATCTCTGTCCCTCTGACACCAGCCCCATCTCTGTCCCCCTGACAACTCACCAGCCCCATCTGTCCCCCTGACAACTCACCAGCCTCATCTCTGTCCCTCTCACAACTCACAGGCCCCACCTCTGTCCCCCTGACAACTCACCAGCCCCATCTCTGTCCCCCTGGCAACTCATCAGCCCCATCTCTGTCCCCGACACCAGCCTCATCTCTGTCCCTCTGACACTAGCCTCATCTCTGTCCCTCTGACACCAGCCCCATCTCTGTCCCCCTGACAACTCACCAGCCCCATCTGTCCCCCTGACAACTCACCAGCCTCATCTCTGTCCCTCTCACAACTCACAGGCCCCACCTCTGTCCCCCTGACAACTCACCAGCCCCATAGCTGTCCCCCTAACAACTCACCAGCCCCATCTCTGTCCCCCCGACAACTCACCAGCCCCATCTCTGTCCCCCTGACAACTCACCAGCCCCATCTCTCTCCCCCTTGACAAATCACCAGCCCCATCTCTGTCCCCATGACAACTCACCAGCCCCATCTCTGTCCCCCTGACACCAGCCCCGCCTCTGTCCCCCTGACAACTCACCAGCCCCATCTCAGTCCCTCTGACACCAGCCCCATCACTGTCCCGCTGACACCAGCCCCATCTCTGTCCCGCTGACACCAGCCCCATCTCTGTCCCGCTGACACCAGCCCCATCTCTGTCACGCTGACAACTCACCAGCCCCATCTCTGTCCCTCTGACACCAGTCCCATCTCTGTCCCTCTGACACCAGCCCCATCTCTGTCCCGCTGACACCAGCCCCATCTCTGTCCCCCTGACAACTCACCAGCCCCATCTCTGTTCCCCCTGACAACTCACCAGCCCCATCTCTGTCCCGCTGACAACTCACCAGCCCCATCTCTGTCCCTCTGACACCAGCCCCATCTCTGTCCCTCTGACACCAGCCCCATCTCTGTCCCCCTGACACCAGCCCCATCTCTGTCCCCCTGACAACTCACCAGCCCCATCTCTGTCCCCCTGACACCAGCCCCATCTCTGTCCCTCTGACACCAGCCCCATCTCTGTCCCCCTGACACCAGCCCCATCTCTGTCCCCCTGACAACTCACCAGCCCCATCTCTGTCCCCCTGACAACTCACCAGCCCCATCTATGTCCCCCAGACAACTCACCAGCCCCACCTCTGTCCCCCAGATAACTCACCAGCCTCATCTCGGTCTCCCCCTCCAGCTGATGTTTTACGCCAGTGTACAGGCTCTCCAGCCCCGCCCGGTTTGTCTGGTATGTCTCACGCTCCACATCAATGTCTTGCTTGGTTGCCTATGAAATCAAGTGAAGGGATTTTTTCAAATTGATAGGGGCAAATTAACCCCTTAGATATATGGAGTTTTGACCAAACAAAGGTCCTAACAGTAGACTGCATTACTGTTTCATTCAGCTGTCATGTGACAAGTGCTAAGTCTATTGCAGACACACCATCTGGACCAACAATCCAGAGATCGCAACTGTAAGCAACAATCCATGCCATCAGGTACAAGGACAGGCTATCAATGAAGTCACCACCCCATCCATGTGGTCACCTCTTACAACCAGCTTTGCTTGCTGGGAACCTATGATCCTACCAGGGGTCCGGAAAATTTAAAATCCCAATCGGACATTTGCATTTAGGCCACGCCCCCTGCAAATAGCGTATTTTAGAACGACTTTTTACACACACATTACAAGTTGTTACGTATTCATAATATGATGAATTATGAATTGTTTCAATTTAAATTGTTTAATTCATCGGACAATTAATAACAAATAATATCATTTTAGATATATATGGCAAACATACGTTTGTTTCTGTTATAATAACGATCTGTTAACGTAGTGAACGGTCTAATTAATATTCATGAGTCTGCTCAAGTGTACGCGTTGTAACATTTGGATCGAGACTATTATCCCATATTTGGTTATCACGTGACCTCACGGGAAAAGGGTTTTTTTAAACTAAAGATTATATATAAACAAGACAGATAATATAATCATAAATACTAAAATATCGTTGATAGCAATAGTTATTTGAATACTTTTTTCATCTGTTCTTAATTATTGACCATAAAAAAATTTGATATCGATCGTCACAGAAAGCAAAATGGCGGTCAATCAAGATTCAATATACGACTAGCTACTGAAAACAATAAAATCTGCAAGTCCTCATTGTATGTCAACCAAGTGAAAGTCGTTAGCCACGACTTACAAAATGATCATTCAGACTTTGAGGGTTTGGCAGATCCGCTCGACTGATTTGCATCGGTCGACTGGCTGTCGTCACGCTTTCGCTTCTTGTCTGAGGTTACGTATCGTAGCATTGTGAGGATAATGAGGTACATCGATGATGCAAGGTATTTATGTACAGTTGTAAACACATTTTACTCAAATTAACATGATGTTCTCAGTAATTAATCCTCGATTAATCAGTGTCAACTCAGTTTATTGCCTATTACAGTGATTGACCGATTGGACTATCATGTAGGTACGATGTATTTACAGCAATCAAAACAAACAAAGCTTGTCAGTGTAGATAATCTTCATTGTGTTACAACTGCAGACGGAAACTGCTTAGTCCTAACTGTTGATCACGTCCAGTCAAAATTTAAGAATGTCCGGACAATACTTTTTAAAATGTCCGGACAGAAAAATTTAAATGTCCAGTAAGCAATATTTTAAACCGGACATTTGAGATTCCCAATCGGACATGTCCGGCGCATATGACGGTTTCCGGACCCCTGGATCCTACCCGGATTCCTCACGAGGGAAAACATCTTGTGAGACAGTTTGAGATACACTGCATCCTCTGTACAGGTAAATTAGTCATGGCAGGCACAGTACTTCCATTTCTCTACACTCCAGTCCATTGCAGACATCATAAATATTGATTAGCCATCAGATTCTATGTGCCAACAGTTTCCATTGAAGAAGCCCATTTGCTCACACCTAACATACCAAGAATGATAGCTGGATGTTAGGAGTGGTTGTCAGTCCACTACACAACAAACAGACATCAGCAGTGTGACCATACCTCCATCTGTTTCTGCAAGCCCTCCGTCACAAAGTCCCGCTCTCTGCGGAGAAGGTCGTTTTCCTCTTGGATGGTGAGAATGCTGTTTTTGGCGATGGCGAGATCTTCCTTCATAAGTGCATTTGTTGTCTGCAGGTGCTCCATCTTCTGCTGGAGGTTGGTCACAGTTGCGCTGGAACATGAATATGAACAGGTCAACACAAACACAGTCAGGTCAACACAAACGTTCCAGGGTCAACACAAACATTCCAGGGTACCCAAGTCAACACAAGGATACCCAGGTCAACACAAGGATACCCAGGTCAACACAAGCATACCCAGGTCAACACATGGATACCCAGGTCAACACAAGGATACCCAGGTCAACACATGTATACCCAGGTGAACACAAGCATACCCAGGTGAACACAAGCATATCCAGGTCAACACAAGGCTACCCAGGTCAACACAAGAATACCCAGGTCAATTCAAGAATACCAGGTGAACACAGGAATACCCAGGTCAACACAAGGATACCCAGGTCAACACAAGAATACCCAGGTCAACACAAGAATACCCAGGTGAACACAGGAATACCCAGGTGAACACATGTATACCCAGGTGAACACAAGAATACCAGGTGAACACATGTATACCTAGGTGAACACAAGGATACCCAGGTCAACACATGTATACCCAGGTCAACACAAGCATACCCAGGTCAACACAAGGATACCCAGGTGAACACAAGGATACCCAGGTCAACACATGTATAGCCAGGTCAACACAAGAATACCCAGGTCAACACAAACACACCCAGGTCAACACAAGAATACCCAGGTCAACACAAGCATACCCAGGTCAACACAAGAATACCCAGGTCAACACAAGCATACCCAAGTCAACACAAGAATACCAGGTCAACACATGTATACCCAGGTCAACATGAGAATACCCAGGTCAACAAAAGCATACCCAAGTCAACACAAGAATACCAGGTCAACACAAGAATACCCAATTCAACACAAGAATACCCAATTCAACACAGGAATACCCAGGTGAACACAAGGATACCCAGGTCAACACAAGAATACCCAGGTGAACACAGGAATACCAGGTGAACACAGGAATACCCAGGTGAACACATGTATACCCAGGTGAACACATGTATACCCAGGTCAACACAAGGATACCCAGGTCAACACATGTATACCCAGGTCAACACAAGGATACCCAGGTCAACACATGGATACCCAGGTCAACACATGTATACCCAGGTTAACACAAGCATACCCAGGTCAACACAAGGATACCCAGGTCAACACAAGGATACCCAGGTCAACACATGTATACCCAGGTCAACACAAGAATACCAGGTCAACACAAACACACCCAGGTCAACACAAGAATACCCAGGTCAACACAAGAATACCCAGGTCAACACAAGCATACCCAAGTCAACACAAGAATACCCAAGTCAACACAAGGATACCCAGGTCAACACAAGAATACCCAAGTCAACACAAGAATACCCAAGTCAACACAAGGATACCCAGGCCAACACAAGAATACTCAAGTCAACACAAGAATACCCAAGTCAACACAAGAATACCCAAGTCAACACAAGGATACCCAGGTGAACACAAGAATACCCAAGTCAACAAGAATACCCAAGTCAACACAAGGATACCCAGGTCAACACAAGAATACCAAAGTCAACACAAGAATACCCAGGTCAACACATGTATAGCCAGGTCAACACAAGAATACCCAGGTCAACACAAGAATACCCAGGTCAACACAAACACACCCAGGTCAACACAAACACACCCAGGTCAACACAAGCACACCCAGGTCAACACAAACACACCCAGGTCAACGCAAGCACACCCAGGTCAACACAAACACACACAGGTCAACACAAACACACCCAGGTCAACGCAAGCATACCCAGGTCAACGCAAGCACACCCAGGTCAACACAAACACACCCAGGTCAACGCAAACACACCCAGGTCAATGCAAGCATACCCAGGTCAACGCAAGCACACCCAGGTCAACACAAACACACCCAGGTCAACGCAAGCACACCCAGGTCAACACAAACACACCCAGGTCAACGTTAGCACACCCAGGTCAACGCAAGCACACCCAGGTCAACGCAAGCACACCAAGGTCAACACAAACACACCCAGGTCAACACAAACACACCCAGGTCAACGCAAGCACACCCAGGTCAACACAAACACACCCAGGTCAACGCAAGCACACCCAGGTCAACGCAAGCACACCCAGGTCAACACAAACACACCCAGGTCAACACAAACACACCCAGGTCAACGCAAGCATACCCAGGTCAACGCAAGCACACCCAGGTCAACACAAACACACCCAGGTCAACGCAAACACACCCAGGTCAACGCAAGCATACCCAGGTCAACGCAAGCACACCCAGGTCAACACAAACACACCCAGGTCAATGCAAGCATACCCAGGTCAACGCAAGCATACACATTATTGTTCAGGGAGAAGATATTTTGGCCCCTCCTGGTAGGGAATATGTGACTCCCTGTTAGTAACCTGGACAGAAACACCACTGAGTCAGTCTAGGGTAATAGGGACATGTAGACAGTGAAATGCCTCCACTTACTTAAGGTGTCTATTGAGTTCTTCCAGATAGTTCTTCTGATCCAGAATGGTCGCCATTTTGGACTTGCCTTCCACGCTGGAAAAAAACCCAGATGAATGTGTTTGTTAATGAACATTGTTCAAAACTGTAAATCAAGAAAACAATGCGAGTATGAAATAAATGCGAAAAATCTAGGCTAATGGAATATTTTGTGATGTCAGGTTCACTGGGCGGAAACAATTACCGGTACATACATATAACAAAGCTCAGGTAAACGATGTACTTGAGCCTTGTATTCAGACAGTGCTTCCCACCAAGCTGAACCATGTCAAGTGTGCTCAATTTGTTACACAAGTTGATCAAGATGTGATGACAGTCGCCAACCATGTATGATGGCATCTTTGTTGTTGGTAACCTTCTCAAATAATCTTGTAACAACATCAGTAACAGCAGCCGTGGTGATGCATAACACAGCACCTTTGGAACCTGTACAATCTTTGTTGGTGACCCGACCTCTCATTTGAATATACATTATCAGGAATTTCCTGGTTTTTGTTTCTTGGAAGTGAGATCACATGTCAAGCTGTTGAAGTTAAATCTATATACGAGCAAACGCTATTCAATCGATTCCAAGTCTACATTCTTGGTGTTATCGTTTGCTGATTAGTTAAATTTACAGTTCAAAGGCATGGTGAGGTGAGGTGAAATGGGGTTGAACGTTGCATCCTAGATTATTGCACTTATATAGCGATGTGCATGCACACATGCGTGTGTGTGTGTGTGTGTGTGTGGCTGCTTGTACTAGTCCGGACTTAAGCCGATTTATAGTGCAAGCACACTGAGATACCATGCCACAGTTTAACATGAATGCCCCACCAAGACACAGTATGCTCACTCACAGCCGACCAGTCCTTGTTTTAGCCCCTTGTTGCCAAGAACAAGGCAGGGTAACAACAAGTACCATCTTCTAAAGTCTTTTGGTATGACGCAGCCAGGGATCGAACCCAGGACCTTCCACTTTCCAGGCGGACGGTCCAGCACTGGAGTACGGAGGCTGTCTCAAAGGCAGGGCTATTCACATCAAATTCATAATGCACTTGCATTAAGTTCATGATTTACAGTAATTCTTCCATACTGGAGTAACACAAACCTGACACATTCAAAAGCAACAGAAACTATTCCACAAATAGCATCCTCCTCACCTTTCAGATTCATCGTTGTCACCATTGTACTTGCCTCCCTTCAGGTATAAGCTAAAGTCAATCACGCCCATCTGAAAAGAGACTCGCCTGTAAGTGTGGCTGAAGGGGTTCCAGCATAGCGTACTACAGATACGTAGTGTCCGAAATAACTGCCTCCCCAGCCTGATAACTTTTCTCTTATGAACTTTTCCTCCACCTGCCCGGCTGTCTGGCAGATAATTTTAAGACTAATTATGTATTCAGCTTTATTATAACTCCTTGTAGATTCTCAAGTAATTGTTTGCATATTTCAACTGAATTAAGATTAGATTTGTCTCATATTTTTTCACGATTTTTCAATATTAACAATGTCTGAATGCGGGCAGGTAACTTTGAGGATGGGCAGGCAACACTTATAAGTCACCTGCCCGACTGTATTGTTGGGTTCTAAGATTATTTCAAACACTGCAGATATTTGTGACTGAACAATTGTTCTATAATAATCTTCACACCGACCTCAACACAGAAATAAATGGAGTCAATTTCTGACTCAACTCAGGACAAAAGAAGAAGGTTCATACTGACCGGCTGGTCCAGATCCTCCTCCTTGATGCAGAGGTTGCAGTCAATGACATTGAGCCCCACCAGCAGCCCGGCTATCACCATCCCTTCATCCTCCATCATCAAGGCCCCGCCCTCATAGTAGTCACTGAAACATCGTGGCACAGATAACATAAACACCTCCTATTCCCACCTTTATTCCAGCAATGAGGCACTGAAACACTGAGTCACAGATAACATAAACACCTCCAATTCCCACCTTTATTCGAGCAATGAGGCACTGAAACACTGAGTCACAGATAACATAAACACCTCCAATTCCCACCTTTATTCCAGCAATGAGGCACTGAAACACTGAGTCACAGATAACATAAACACCTCCAATTCCCCCCACCAGCCCCTGAAACCTTGCTTCAATAACAAATCCCTTTACATTGCAGGATACAGAATGGATGATAATGTACCAACTAAATCATGTTGCATTATTCAATGGTTGAAATTACGGATGAAAGTCTTGGTGTCCTTGTCAAAATTCTTCTTGATAAAACATCAGGGTTTCAGATGGCCGTCGGTCACCGGTCATAGACCGATAAAATTTCTATTTGACCGATGGTTTGTTTAAGTTGTTGGACTTTTGACCGATAGAAATGCTAAGCAAGCCGTCACACATGTCATAATTTCATGATTAAATAGTAGGGATTATTCCACTCAGGGTATCGATTTTAATGCCCGATGAAATGCTCTCATAAAGTTTAGTGCCAATCGAGAGAATGTACAGTACACATATTGTCCTGTTTTCGATCCGAGCTTTCAGTATCATATACAGTGAGTGTTCTCTCGCTATTGCGCCCGTCAATAATAGCGCTTACTCGGTTATAGCGGGCGGTAAAGCATGGTCCCAAAATTTACTTATGTTTATAATAAACTCAAGTTTTCCAATGACACAATGTTTTCCCCCATCTCAAAAAAACATAATCAACTGATCACCGCGATCACGTAACACCGGAAATACCAGTCAACAAATCCGAACTGAAGTACGCAATTTAATCCTATTATTATAATATCTGGTTATAAAAAGGTGTTCATTGTTTATCTGGACTTATGTTTGCAATATATCTTATAGATTTTATTAAAAAATTTATTCAATAATTATAATAATTTTGGCGAAATCGTATGCTAAGTGATCGGTAGATCGCACAACTCACCGTTATTTACAGCAACCACGGTCAGATTACCGCTATTGACGCCTTGAAACGAACTTTATTTGCAAGAGAATGGATACACATATCATAAATGCCATACCTTGACTCATTTAAAGTCATATTTGAGGCAATTTGACTATTAAATGTCAACATAACACTTTCGCAATCGAAATACATGTAGCGCGGGAAGTCCCTTCGGTGACTGGTCAATTTGTTCAATACGTAAATAATTAGATCTAACAATGTGAAATCTCCGCAAAAACGCCGAAAATTGCGTTTTTTAAAACAGTGGTCCTCGAAAAGAGTCATCTTCCTCGTAAAAATATAATTAAAGATTAAAAAAAATACTCCGAAAATATCGTGTTTCCGGAGAACCGTCGCGGATTGTCCTGTTTTCAATCAGAACTTTCAGCATCAATTATGCCTTTATTATTATTCATGACACAATACTGTTATCGTCGGATCATAGGTTTTCGGAAATCATACGTTTTCAATCACGAATACTTGCACCATAACGGTAGGTGTCACACAGAAATTATAAATACTCAGATGATGGCTTGATTCTAAGATAAAGTTGTCCTTTATGAATAAAGTGAATGAGAAGTTTTACACTTACAGTTGTTCATGTGATCAGTGAGAAAACTATGACTGTTTCTTCAGTGTCGGAAAACCCATAACCCTGGATATGTGTTGAAATAATGTCATGTTTGCAATGTTTTTTTCAACAAAAGGTAAGTAAGTACAAGGCTATTTAAAAAAAATATATATTTCAACATGGGCAAAGGTCAGACATTGCACGCTTGTGACAGTTGTCCTTGTGTCTGGGGGATGGGGGGTGAAGTTGATGGCAGTATTGCTCCCAGACCCGGCAGGTAGCCGGGTGTGCGGAAGCTATACCCGATTTTTTAAAAGTACTGATTTAACTTCGAAATTTTACTGCATCCGGAATCTTTGTTTAAGTGACTTGTTGACTTTTGCCACTGACTTATTACATTTCTTGGGTCCAAGTCATTGACCTGTATATAGCTTTTTGTGTCAAAATCACTGAACATCAAGACTTCAAGCACACTTAGAAAAACTCCTTAGAAAAACTCGCCAGGCCCTGCGACCACCCATAACACTAAGTAAACAACCTGGATTAACACAGTAGGAGGTACCCTTCTTCCCGCTCACCTAAGCATATTATCCTTCTTCTCTATCATAATCTTGAAGTAGTCGGCCAGAGTCTTCTGCATCAGGGCTAGGCGGATCCATGCACGTGCTCGGCCCAGCGGCGTTCTGGAATATATCAGGAGCTATAAAACTGGTTCAAATCCCAAACCAGAGGCAATCAACATAATTGTCCTGGCCACACCGTTGTGCCTCTCAATGTAATACAACAGCTTGTGATGTTCTTATGCATCTCAACTTGACCTGGCATGTCCACTGACAGATGGACCAGGGAGTACATGAAACTGGACATTTAAAACAACTGTGATAATTAAAGTGGCCAACTTCTTGTTTTTGAGAAAATATGAAATACTCGCTATGATATAATGTTGCTTGATAAAGGTGTTAGGATCTACACCGAAACGTCGCACCAATTGTAATAAAGAAGTTGTTCATCCATAGAACTCGTCTTACTTTATCACTCCAACTTCTAAATGCCACTCAAAGAAGTTATAATGTTAGTCTCCTACAGTTTGTAACATTGTGAGAAGACAAAACTAAATACAAGAAGAGTAAATGTTGGTGAATACTTCATGGGTTTGTAGCCTGTTGTGCCCCACGTTCCTCCATCACAAGGCAACACACATGGTCACAATGCGGAGTAGTTGCTGTTCATAACACCCTGGTTCCAGTGAGAAGGAAACATGTGAGACCTATGCTCAATTTACATCATACAAACAGCAATGTTTCCTAGTTGACACCGAGCTCCACACATTGTTTCAGTGTCAGGCGATAGTAGGGTTCACACGAGGTGCAGCATGGAGTAGAGCTCATTGGACCCAGATACATATGGCCTCACATCATTAGCTGACGAAAATAAGACATATCACCTCTACACTGCATATTGGCCCAATTCATTCATTCAGAGTGAGTGAGTGAGTGAGTGAGTGAGTGAGTGAGAGTGAGTGAGAGTGAGTGAGTGAGTGAGTGAGTGAGTGAGTGAGTGAGTGAGTGAGTGAGTGAGTGAGTGAGTGAGTGAGTGAGTGAGTGAGGTAGTGAGTGAGTGAGTGAGTGAGTGAGTGAGAGAGTTGGGTTTTAACACTGCTAAGTAATATTGCGGCATGTCAGCTGAATGTTGGTGGAAAGCCCAAAGTGATGTAGATCTCAGACGTTTACCACCTTGGAGAAACCCACGAGCACGGGTACAGTGCTGACAAACCTAGAAACACAATTGGGAACCGGGATGCAAATCATAGGTTTCTGGACCACCCGTTCCCCTGGTTGATAGAGAAACATAGTGCATGCATACATACCCGAGAATATTGATGATGGAGTAAATGTTTGTCATTTTCTTTATTGAAGAAATGTACAAAGGAAGTTAAAGATGGCCGTCATACAAACTGCCTCCAAACCAATGGTATAGCCCCCCAGAATACAGTCCATCACTTACTTGATGTGTGGCATGTCCCGCACACTCGTGGTTATCTCCCCTGCTTCAGGAGCGAACTTTTCAAAAGCTTCTAGCACCCCCCAGAACTCTTTCCGATCACGCAAAATACCTTTTCTGGCTGAAAATAATATCACAATTTTATGGCCCCACAATACACAAAACTGAAATGTATCAGTCATAAATTTAACAGTAAACAAGTGCAAAAGTGAGCGTGGCTCACTAATACCCCCAACCCACCTAGTGTGTCAGTAGTCACAAATTAAATAGCTAGGATAGGGTTAGGCAGGGTTCCCCCTAGATTCCAATATCGGAGAGTCACCTTGACTCAGCCTATGAATTTTTGGGAGTCAAAAATATTTTTTGAGAGTCAAATGTTTTATTGCATGATTAATGAAATTTAAAGTGTTCACTGTTAATTGTTACACTTAAAGTTAAGTATCTTTTAAATATTATATGTCTTTAGTTAACAAGTGCTAATTAATGTTCTCAGCTGATTGTACTACAGAGAAATAAAGTATAAATGAATGAAAAACAAAGTTTGTTGGTTTTATTTTTTCACAATCTTTAATTACTTCACAGCTCATGAAACAATTTACAGTGACACTAATAATACTAATACAGGATGAATAAATAACATCAGTCTCAACTGTGAGACATAATTTTTAATCATGGATGGATATTAAAATACATTTCATGTCAGATTATAATTTAATACCACTAACTCATTTACATCTTTTATCTAGTTATCTTGAATTATCTATCAACAGTGAAGTTAAACTGAAGAATTGTGAACACTCGTAATATTTTCTGGTTGAATACAGTTTATTAGCAACAACAAACACGCCCAAAGCTTAACATTTCGTATATACCATATTTATTCGTGTATAATACACACTCATGTATAATACGCACCCCTAATTATGGGCAATTAAATCCTGAAAAAATATCTCTTGTGTATAATACGCACAGACTTTTCTTCAGTCTCATTTCAGGCTGTCATGATCTGTCATCGGAAATAGCATAACAAATCCGAATTGAATTACCCAAGTTAATCCTGTTGTTACACTATCTGGTAATAAAAATGTGTTCTCTGTATATCTGACCTTATGTTTGTCATCTATTTTATTAATTTTATTTAAAATTTCATTCAATAATGTTTACCTAAATTTCGGCAATAACATGTGTCCCTCCGATACTTACAACTTCTGTTTACCCTGTTCCATAGGTTCCACTTAACCACATATTCACCGCAACAATGATAATATTTTCTTTTGTTTCATTTTTTACGAGTCTACACATCTAGATAATCATATGTCATGGTTAACTTTTAGTGAGAAAATTTTAAGACGTTTGCATATATTGTCTTCAGAAAATGTTTATAAATTAAGTTCAGGTGAGTAGTTGTAATATTTTCATTCCAAACAACATAGATATTTTGAAATTGCGTCAGTCATGATGCAGTCATTTATTTCTGGACGTATTTTTCCTTAATTGAGAGTCATATACACAAGAATTCTGCGTCAGGGGAAACCCTGGTTAGGGTTTGAAAAATTCATAAAAAAATGGAAAATTAATAAACACAATTTTTTTCTTTTGACTGCACCCCTCCATATGACACAGATTATATGTACTAAGTTTGAGATGGATCCACTGAATAGTTTAAGAGAAATCGCGCGGACAAAGTTTTCAGACAGACGTTAAGGTTTGAAAAATTCATAAAAATGGAAAATTAATAAAAACAATTTTTTTCTTTTGACTGCACCCCTCCATATGACACAGATTATATGTACTAAGTTTGAGATGAATCCCCTGAATAGTTTAAGAGAAATCGCACGAACAAAGTTTTTGGACGGACAGACAGACTGACAGATGGACGGACGGATGGACGGAATCTTGGTATAACTATATACCCCCGACATAAAAAAGCACAAAAGACGAAGCACTTGACATAATCAGCACACAGAACATATTTCACCAGTTCTACAAGCCCTTCATTGACTACCACTCAAACAAAGAATTCACTTCAAAGATTTTCCTCTTTGATACAGATCCTAGCACATATATCTCCGAATGTTATCAGGATCAGTAAGGTACCGTAAAGCATTCCCTCTGCTCTGTGGTCATTGTCGACTTTAAAGTACAAACACAAAAATGGGTGACAGAGACTCCTGGGCAGTCTGTACTGTGGAACAGTCTTCTTCTATCAGGACCACAGCATCAAAAACAACCCTCAAATCTGTAATAAAAACCCACCTTTGCATAGTTGTCTCCCCACAAAGCTAACTGATAATCCTACACTTGTGTTCTTTAAAGCAACACGATGCAAGTTCATTATTATTGTTATGACTACTTTCCTCTCAAGACTCCCAGACATCAAGTTAGTGGCACTTCCTACACACCAAAGGTCAACAAACTGAGAGTTGTCGGGACGAAAGAAGTTACTGTAACTATGTACATCACTGTGTATTATGATCTTCCTCGTCTAACATACTTACGTTTGAGTCCATGTCGAAGCACATGCTCGAGCACCACGAAGAACTGTTGGAGTGGAACATGGTCATCGTCCAGCATCCGGCCATGGGCCAAGGACGAGTCTATCAGTTCCTTCACAATAAGTTTGGAGACATTCAACAAGTTGGCTCTCTCAATCGTCCTTGGGTCCTTTCCTGTAACACAACAAAATACAAAATAATGCCAACAACCATATTCACAATCACAGAAAACAACTGACCATTGCCAGCAGAGGAATGATGATACGTTATTTGTACCAGAAGTCAGAGTGGAGGCGTGCATTCTTCCCCCAGGACACTGGTACTACCACTCAGCAATGGCCTGCACTCACAGAACTCACATTAGGCGTATTACGGAAAAACGGTGTCTTAGCAAGAAGGCGACCCTTTAGGTTTAGCTATCTGCAGAAAAGAGAATCGTGGTGCATATTGAAGTTTCTTGCTATTTGGTTTGAGTATAGTTAAGGGATTATGATTGAGGGGCTGTGTGAATATCTTACCTGACATACGCTCAATAAAGAAAACACACTTTACTGAACTTAGTTCACCTATCTGTGTATTGAAAACATTGACATATATATCCCTTGCTGAAGTTATGTGCATCACAATCAAGATGGCAAATGCACAGGTAGACTACAAGTTCCTTCCCATGTTGTGCGGTGGCAGATATTTGTATGTTGGTGGTTTAATGCATAGAATCAGCAAGTGAAAGGCTATTACTCCAACAACACTGACATCAATCGATTCGTGAGATGTTGAGCAGTCCTACTTTATACCTTTGCAAGAGGTAAGTAACCATAATATTTACTTACTTTTATTTTGATTTTCAACACTCGAACCTAATATGTAAAAAGCAAATCATTAATTTATGTACTCCTCTTGTTTAATTTGTAGCTTTTGCTTTCTTGTATGACTTTCTTGTATGGCTCCAAATGCTAGCAGATATGCCACAGGACAACTGGCCCGGATTACGTCACAGCAACTTGGATTGAGGGAGGCCAGGACTAGTCTTCACTGAACCACCACGGGACGACAGGTCCATGCATTAATTACCATTTGGAGGGGGAGAGGCCTGAGCCAATCTTCATGAAAATGACAGGTCCTCGAACGAACAACCATTTGGAGCAGTGGAGGCCTGAACCAGTCTTCATGAAAATGACAGGTCCTCGAACGAACAACCATTTGGAGGGGTGGAGGCCTGAACCAGTCTTCATTAAAATGACAGGTCCTCGAACGAACAACCATTTGGAGCAGTGGAGGCCTGAACCAATCTTCATGAAAATGACAGGTCCTTGAACGAACAACCATTTGGAGCAGTGGAGGCCTGAACCAGTCTTCATGAAAATGACAGGTCCTCGAACGAACAACCATTTGGAGCAGTGGAGGCCTGAACCAATCTTCATGAAAATGACAGGTCCTTGAACGAACAACCATTTGGAGCAGTGGAGGCCTGAACCAGTCTTCATGAAAATGACAGGTCCTCGAACGAACAACCATTTGGAGCAGTGGAGGCCTGAACCAGTCTTCATTAAAATGACAGGTCCTTGAACGAACAACCATTTGGAGCAGTGGAGGCCTGAACCAGTCTTCATGAAAATGACAGGTCCTTGAACGAACAACCATTTGGAGCAGTGGAGGCCTGAACCAGTCTTCATGAAAATGACAGGTCCTCGAACGAACAACCATTTGGAGCAGTGGAGGCCTGAACCAGTCTTCATGAAAATGACAGGTCCTCGAACGAACAACCATTTGGAGCAGTGGAGGCCTGAACCAGTCTTCATGAAAATGACAGGTCCTTGAACGAACAACCATTTGGAGCAGTGGAGGCCTGAACCAGTCTTCATGAAAATGACAGGTCCTCGAACGAACAACCATTTGGAGCAGTGGAGGCCTGAGCTAATCTTCACAGAACCACCAATGAACGAAAGGTCCACGAGTGAACAACCATTTTTAGGGGTGGCATGGAAGAATAAAGCAACTTATTGGTAAAGCCCATGGAAACCTGTTTGAAGTGATATGATTTCTGTGTGCCGAACAGAAGGGGAAGGACATACACTTCATCCAGGACACTTCTGGTCAGAGACCACCTCCACAGAAAAAGAGATATACCGATTTACAGAGAGGACTGGAAGAATGAGTGAGTGAGTTTGGTTTTATGTCACTTTGGGCAATATTCCAGCAATATCACGGCGGGGACACCAGAAATGGGCTTCACACATTGTACCCATGTCGGGAATTGAACCCGGGGCTTCGGCTTGATGAGCAAACGGAAGACTGTAATGGAATACGCCAGCAGTGCATCACATGTTGTAAATTTTATTTTTATTTAGGACGACCCTACCCAGGTGCAAGTCTTAGCTTGTGAAAACACAATAATATCTCATTGGAAGAAATTCGCAGGAATGCAACTGCCAAAAGTATACAATGTTGTTACACCCCATAAAAAGTCGCCTCTCTTGCGAAAGAAGCAGAAAGATAACCCCAATGAAAGAAAACTGAAAACAATGTTTAAATACACCAGGTTCAAGGTGAAGAAGGTTGTGCAAATTCATGTCATAATTATTGTTACACATTAGCAATATTCTTTATAAAGGTGTATGTTAAACACTGTGGCATATCTCGGTATATCATGGATTATCATGGTATAGTTTGGTATATTGTGGAATATCATGGAATATCTTGGTGTGTTTTCGCATATTATGGAATATCTTGGTTTATTTTGGAATATATCATATAATATTTTGGTATATTGCGGAATATCATGGAATATCTTGGTGTGTTGTCGCATATTATGGAATATCTTGGTTTATTTTGGAACATCATGGTATATTTTGGTATATTGCTGAATATCATGGATATCACAGTATATTGTGGAATATCATTGAATATCTTTGTGTGCTGTTTCACATCAAGGAATATCAAGGAATATTTACATATATTTTGGAATATGATAGAATATCTTGGTATATTTATGAATATCATTGAATATCTTGGTGTGTTGCTTTATATCATGGATTGGAATATCTTTGTATAACAAGGATATTTTGCTTTATTATAGTATATCACATGGAATATCTTGGTATATCTAGGTATATGATGGTATATCATGCATGGTATATTGCATGTTCTGCGAGGTAAAACTGACCACAGTGAATCTGCTCAATTCATTGTGAGCTTGTATGTAAACTACATAAATCAACACTTTCAAGTGTCCCAAATATACACGATGAAATTTTACATAACCTAATACAGTAAAGTACGGTTATAACGAACTCAAAGGGACTACTAATTTTAGTTCGTTATAACCGTAGTTCGTTATAAGCATATATACAGCATAATACAGCTAATTATCGGGACCAAAAAAGTAGTTTGTTATATCCGTCAGTTCGTTATAAGGGTGTTCGTTATAACCGTAGTTTACTGTAATGGTAATCTTTCTTAGCCTGCGAGGGGTTCATAAGCAGAAACCTCAAGGACCCTATATTTCTGACAAACATGACACAGCATTAACAATTACAGATTCCTGACAGTTCAACATCCAAACATACTGAGTTATAATGACAAACAATTTAATATCCATTAACTTGTCAGATGTTTTATCTCAGCTATCAGTAATTCAACAAAGTTCACGTCATGTTTCTGTGACTGACATTTTCAGTGTTTCATATGAAACCACACCGCCCACCTCCAGGTGTGTTTAGGTGTTAGCTTAGAACTATTTGTAAACTCTCGGTTACCATGGTTACTCTTATTAATGTTGACAACACATGCAGAATGCTGATATATGAAACTGTTCCAAACAATAAATATATTTACACATTTTATACATTTAACACTGTTCAATATAAAATATGCATGATATGGAGTGAAAACTTCATTTTAATTGATGATGTCAACAGTACAGTTTTGACAGATATTGTTTATGTGAATAAAATCGTGACACTGCAAACCTTCACAAAATAATCAATATTGCCTTCATCATGTTCATCGACGTTTGTTATTGTGAGACATATTGCACACGCGGGCCATGGTGAACGGACACTAACATCTAAATGTCACAGATTAACATCAACATAATTTGTCTTTCTGGGACACATGACAATGCCAGCATGTTGCATGTCAGTCACATAAAAGCAACATGTTTGTTGACATTACCAAAATTAACAATCATGTTCAAATATCACATTTATCTTTCCCTGAATTCTAATTAATGTCTTAACAACATATTTACAGATTGTTCCCCATATTACAATACCATAAATTATTTTGAAAAATTGCATCAATGGAAACGGACCATATGAGAAAAGAATCTACCCACTCCACCCCCCTGCCACGCCCCTCCCCTGCCTACCATCGTCGGAGGAGACGATCATCTCGTCATGCAGTTGCAACTGGACATCGCTGAGCTCTCGCAGACACAGCCAGTCGCCATCAACAGACACACGGAAATTACACAGATAAATGGTTTCTTCTGCCATGATGCACTATCTGTGGGAAGCAGTGTCTTCAGTCAGTGAGAGAATGCCCTCCACAGAATGTTCAGTGAATGTGGCCTGAGGCAGCTAGCAGTGCCAGCAGGCAGAGGACACTGTATTCTTCCTCCATGTTGTCTTCCCACATACCAGGAACCTGCTGTCTCAGAGTACAAGGTATTGATCTCAGCCAATGCACACAATCATTATGCTAATATACCCCGGCACCAAGGGACACTAGGCTGGCTATCCACATCTCCCTGTGGCGAGACAGCTTGATCACTGAGCCGTGGCGACACGCTCCACTAGCAGTGCTCACTATTCTTGTCAGGAATGGCCTGGCCAGGTAGCTGATGTTCACTGCTCACCAGTGCTGTGAAGCAAGCATCTCATGGCTGACAGATGAAGGCTTCATACATTATGACAATTAGCAGTCAAAGGGAGGCAACTCTTGTTACCTGGCAGATTCTGGGACATTCTGATACACGGATAGTGAAAGACCCTGTTCAGAACCAGTGACGAACTGAAAATTAGTCTTTCACAGAATGACATTAATTTTGTAAACTAAATACATTATAAAAATTCAAATTGATGCAGATTTTTTTTTCATGAAACATATGTCAGTTACATATTAACAAGCAACCTATGCATTCACACATATTGTCATCTACTATTGAAAATAAGTTATGCATCTTATCAAATAAAAGTGTTATTTAAAAAGATTTTAAAATAAAAATATTTCACAATATCAATATTTCAATGTTATTTTTGTAACTTGAAGAAAGCAAGGGTAGAAAACGTGGTGTTGAGGATTTTCAGTTTAAGTTTAGGCACAGTGGCTCAACAGATAATTCTTTGGCATTTATGTTCATGTATTTCAATTTCAATGCTGACAATTATTTAAGATAATTAATTTGCTGCATACATGTGACCCATTTTCCTGCACAAGCACAAAAGACAAAGTTGGATGTTTTGTTGTATTCATGAAAATACAACATGATGTCTTGAAGCAAGATTGTGTAAACTAAATAGCCTGTATTTCCTGGTGTGGACAACAATGTCAGTTAAAATCCAGACCCAACTTGTTAGCTTTGAAACAAAACAAAGTGTGTCATACAATGACATCATCCAACCAAAGTTTCTTCAGGCATACATGCTGTGTAAATCTTTCAAAACTTAAAGATGACACATTCTTGTTGGGTCACGTTACTTCTGACATACTGATTATAGGTTCTGGCAATCCAACAGATTCATCTATAAAAAATAGTAAAATCATACCTGGTTGGAACTTCGAAATAAAACGTCCATTAAGACACAAGAACAAAAGTTAAAAAAATAGTTCCATTCTTCAACATGAGATCCATTTATCTTGACATTAATATAATTGCAGAATAATAAAAAATGAAGCTATAATATTAATCTTTTACATAGGAGTGAAAAGATTATCCACAATTACTTCTAAGTATTCATAAACATCACTTTACCACACGCAGAATAACAGTGTAAGGCGTTTTAAGTGTAATGCATCATTAGACTCCTTTTATAAGTGTAACATACTCTAAAACCAACTTGTGGTCCTGTCATTTAGCGTGCCTGTTGTCTCCATTCAACCAACTTTATTATTGAAAGAATTACACAGTTGTTCATAGCAGGAGCAGAAATATTGCTGACCTCGGCATAGACCATCACTCACTCACTCTCACACTCACTCACTCACTCTCACACTCACCCGCTCACCCACCCAATTAGAAATGGCTAAATTCAGAACCGGGAAATATATCAGAATGACCCGCTAGGTATAAATGAAGAAAGACAAATGCTTTTCCAATTCAGAGCAAATCATTAAAGAGAGGAAATTCTTTAAATGGACAAAACCCGGAAGCACCAGATGTTTTCCAACAATTCCATTGTGTGGTTGTGGTGCAATTGGAAACTTGACATTTATACTTAATACACAGATTTCCCTCTGGCTCAGGGTCTGATCACGGGTTACATGGATGAACAGTTCACTTTCAAACATCTTCTCACGTGACTACACCATCTAGCAATCATACCCTGTTTACTCTAACAATGACGGAAACACTGCCAGTTCTGATGATGATAGCAATCACATCGTTTGTCCCTCACTGTATTAAGGTTCATTCTCCATCACAATCGCACACAGTGAAAGTCATTTCTTAAACATGCACAAGGTAACTGTTTCCATGGTCAAAACATGCTCACTTCACACTGTGACTGCAGAGACTTACCTAGGATTCTAAACTAAGTGTCCCTGGGGATTTTTTAAAGTTCTTTTTTTCGGTAAACTCTGAGGTAGGCCTATTTTAACATTGTACTAGGAAATTGCATTTGTGGTTGACATACCCAAGTAGGATAAAAAGAATTGAGTTATGATGAGTGAGTGAGTATGGTTTTACACTGCTTTTAGCAATATTCCAGCAATATCACGGCAAGGGACACCAGAAATGGGCTTCACACATTGTACCAATGTCGGGAATTGAACCCAGGTCTTAGGCATGACGAGCGAACGCTTTAACCATTTGGCTACCCGACCTCCCCGTCTCATTAATGGGCTAACATTATGAATACCAATAGACAGATGTTATCATTAAGCCTGCGAACATTATAAACACCATTAGACAGGTATCCTCATTTAACCTTCAATATAATAAAATGACAATAGAAAGCTATCCTCATTAAACCTATTAACATAATAAAATGACATTAGACAGGAATCCTCATTAAACCTATTAACATAATAAAATGACATTAGACAGGTATCCTCATTAAACCTATTAACATAATGAAATGACATTACAAAGCTTAAATTGTCATTAAACCTATTAACATAATAAAATGACACAGAAAGCTATCCTCATTAAACCTATTAACATAATAAAATGACATTAGACAGGTATCATCATTAAACCTATTAACATAAGAAAATGACATTAGACAGGTATCATCATTAAACCTATTAACATAATAAAATGACATTAGAAAGGTATCCTCATTAAACCTATTATCATAATAAAATGACATTAGACAGGTATCATCATTAAACCTATTAACATAATAAAATGACATTACAAAGCTTAAATTCTCATTAAACCTATTAACATAATAAAATGACATTAGAAAGGTATCCTCATTAAACCTATTAACATAATAAAATGACATTAGAAAGGTATCCTCATTTAACCTATTAACATAATAAAATGACATTACAAAGCTATCCTCATTAAGCCTGTGTAGTAATAAATGCCATTAGACAAATTACAAAAGCTGTTAATAGAAAACAGAGGGTTTTTTTCTAATAAGATATTATTAAATGACTGTGCCCATAAGCTAGTGTCCACTTTGAAATGCTATGTTTGTTTCACCATCAGCCAGATCATTCAGAGCTAGTATTTTCAAACTATTATCACTTCCTGTTCATCGAGATTGATGATACTCATTCCATTTCTAAATCCCCAGCAGGTTCATTGTGTTAACCATACTGTGCATAAATGGCTCTCACATCTTCTATTTCCATTGTTGTGTCCAGCTTACTGTAAAAACCGATGTATATCTAACTTCACACAAGAAACATCATCACAAGGTATTAAACAGATAGGATTCCTTACTGAGCCCTGGTGGCACAGTCAACATACTTTATCTCAGCCATTGGTCCAATACAAGAAATTCCCAACCCTGCTTATTATTTCAATGCAATACATTTTAAATAATAACTATTTCTGCATGTTTCAAAATGTTGCTATGTTCATTACTAAACTGTACGAAGTCTCATTCTGTGCCAACCACTTTTTAGTCTACTAGCCTGAACAAGGCTCTACACATTATTTTCAGTAGATATAGATTTAGGACTACTATTAGCTCAGCTCACTGGATCAAACAGACTTTTACTAAACTGGGGCTTCGCAAACTGAAGACCATATTTAAAAACTGAGCAAGAACTGCTCTATTTGGTGACTTAGGGATCTATGTTTTGCACAATTCAGTACTCTACACTATTCTGAGCCCATGCTAAACTTGGTGCATGGATTATCTCCCTTAGACAATGATGGTGTTGGTGAACTCCTCTAGATCCGTGTCAGGGACACTACTTACTTCAAAATGCATGTCACACATGGTGAGTGAGTGAGTTGGGTTTAACGCCCCTTTTAACAGTATTCCAGTTATATCACGGCGTGTCAGCTTAATGTGGGAGGAAAGCCCGAAGTGATGCAGATCTCAGACGTTTACCACTTCGGTGAAACCCACGAGCACGGGTATGGTGCTGACAAACCTAGAAACATAATCAGGGCGAACCGGGATTCGAACCCACAATCATAGGTTTCTGGCGTGCCCAAGGGACGCAACTCTGCACAGCGAATCACGGCGCCTTAGACGACTGGGCCACCCGTGCCCCCTGTCACACATGGAATAGATACAGCAGAAAGTGTGACACAACAATACATCCTTCACTACGCTGTGAAGTGTACTTTGTTTGCAGTGATTTAGGGGAGGATTATTGCCTATATCTATCTACACAGCCAACGTAGGTACTACACTCAACACATTCAACAAACACTTGATTCATCATGTTCATAACTAATCCATTCTGGTACACATTTCCTGTCAATCTAATTAATACCTGCCTAATATCTTGTATAAGATACAAAACAAACAACAAACTAAAAATATTCTGAAAGAAGGATGAATGTTGATTACATTAGATTATTCAAGGGTAACAAAATCAAGAAGATGAAGAAAGAGGTGAGGTGAGGTGAAATTGGGTTTAACGTCGCGTCCAAGATTATTGCACTTAAATAGCGAAGTGCATGCACGTGTATGTGTGTGTGTGGCTGCTTGTACTAGTCCGGACTGATGCCGATTTATAGTGCTAGCTCACTGAGATACCATGCCGCAGTTTAACATGAATACCCCACTCAGACACAGTGTACTGACTCCGAGCCGACCAGTCCTTGTTTTAGCCCCTTAATGCCGAGCGCCAGACAGGGTAACAACAAGTACAATCTTTTAACGTCTTTTTGTATGACGCGGCCCGGGATCGAACCCTGGACCTTCCGCTCTCCGGGCGGATGCTCTACCACAAGACCACGGAGGCGGTCGATGAAGAAAGAAGTAACAAAAGTTTCTAAATTACATGAAGAAAGGGATACACATTAGATAACACATTCATACATACACATATTGCCATTGGAAATTAATAAAGGCACTGTGTACTTGCAGGAAGTGCACAATCCAGTGTTAATGAAAATGAATCTTTTCAAATTTGATTGATTACTAAAAAAAAACCTAAAAGAAAGATGATTGTTGATTTACCTGTAGGCCATGTTATTGAGTGATGCTCAGGTTTTAGTGTTATCATATTGACTATTATAAGGCTTCGGACATCAGCCTCAACTATACTCAACAACAAAAGTTCCTGTGACACCAATATTTTAGTGTATTTTTCAAACAAGTAAAGTTTGGTTTTCAATATTGTAGTTCATGTATGGAATCAAGTCACACAAACACAACTGCTACAGAAAAGCATGCATTCCATGCAAAGGTTTACTTTTATGCAAGCCCCATGCAATTCACTTCCCAAGAATGGGTATAAAAACATGTGCGTTAACAGGATTCCATATGCATTGTTTAGCATCGTGTAGACAACAACCACTCAGAAAAACAACAAAATTACGCAATTATTCAACATTACGAAATGCCACGCCTGTCCGAAAATGAGCGTCTGCGAGCCATTGGTATGCTTGAAGCAGGATCGAGTCAATGTGATGTTGCAAGACAATTTAACGTCCACAGAAACACCATTTGGTGTTTATGGCAACGTTGGCAACATATGAATGCATTTAGAGACCATCCTCGGAGTGGCAGGCCACGCGTAACCAATAATCGACAAGACAACTGGATTCGAACAACACACCTACGAAATCGATTACAGCCAGCAACAGTGACTGCAAAGAGCATCCCTGACGAATATCTTCACAAACCGTACGTCGTCGCCTCAGATGTGCAGGGATTGTCGCCAGAAGACCCGCCAGACGTCCCATTTTGACAGGAAACCACCATCAAGCACCTCTACAGTGGTGCAGACAGCGTCCACACTGGACGGCCATGCAGTGAGGACAAGTTCTATTCACTGACAAGTCTCGTTTCACCTCAGCCGCAGCGATGGACGGATTCGAGTGTACCGACGTCGAGGTGAACGTTACGTCAATCATTGTGTCATGGAAGAAGATCGGTTCGGGGGCGGAAGTGTTATGGTATGGGGTGGGATTACAGCAAGACAGAGGACCCGTTTGATAGTGGTAGAGGGAAATCTCAATGGACAGCGCTACCGCGCCGAGATCATTGGCCTGTTGTTCTACCGTTTTTGCGTCGTCATGGCCCAGAATTATGAGATGTGGTTGGTTCATGTGATCCTGACAAAATACTATGTATCTTGCCTGAGAGGGAAATGAATTTCTGAGCGGGAGAATAAATCCCTTATACCCTGCCATGAAGAACACAGGCTGCAAGTGGATTTCTGAGCGGAAGAATAAATCCCTTATACCCCGCTCGTGATACTACTACAACTTATAATGTATCCCTTATGATACTGCTTCAACTTATAATGTACACCTTATGATAGTGCTACAACTTATAATGTATCCCTTATGATAGTGCTACAACTTATAATGTATCCCTTATGATAGTGCTACAACTTATAATGTATCCCTTATGATAGTGCTACAACTTATAATGTATCCCTTATGATAGTGCTACAACTTATAATGTACTCCTTGTGATATGGCTACAACTTATAATGTACCCCTTTTGATACAGCTACAACTTATAGAATCTGCAAGCTGCAGAAATGACTATGTTAGTTCTATATTGTGGGTTGTTTCCCTTTGTATATATGCCGATGCCCATGAAGCAACTTGCTCTATGTCACAGCTGTCATTCATTAATGTTGTTGAATAGTATTTGTTCTTATTCGTTCCTCACTGTAATTCAATTTCTCCTGCCTTGATTGACAGGCTCCAGGAACATCGTTTGTTGCTAATTTCTGTTGATCAAACATCAAAAGTTGGATTCGTATGTCAGGAATGTTAAACGATCTCATCAAATGTACCTGTTTAGATTTACATGATTGTGTCATCAAACCATTCATTCATGTGGTTGAGAATATATGTTGTGAACATTAATCATAAGAATTCATACAGTTTGCACATAAGTTTTTCAATTGATACCTCAATGAACAGAAAGAAATATTGAAAGCATAGACCTGACCCTAACCATATACCCGCTGTTGGTCTCAAGTTGGCCACAAAATGTCCAATTGATAATTGTTTTACAGGAGCCCTTGCAAAATCTATTTAGATAAACTCATATCGCGGTCTGATCATGTATACACTGAAGCTGACTGAAGCTTTATCTTTACTCAAACACATAGGTCAGAAAGAATGTGTGCCTAGTCAGAAAGAAATTTAGCAACTTGTAGTGTAACTATGAAGTTTGATTGTGATTGTCATGAAACAATTTATCAAGTGACCAACCCCGGAACTGGAAAGTCATGTTGGTACCCAGGTCCTACTCAGGACCTATCCAACCCAAGTTCCCGAGTTTCCCATCCCAGGCCTTATACCAAGTGTGGCAGGTGACAGAAGGAACATCTGAATGACAGTGGTAATGTGAAGGGAAGTGACATTGAAGGGAATATTCTCATCAAGGTTTGATTTATTGCTGTCCGATAATTGGTAGTCATGTGACATTATCATATCACATATTGCACATGTTAAAGAAGCAGATACACTGTGGCAGCTTTTTAATGGCAAATCATTGAAATATGGGATGAGGAGTGGTCAGGTAGACAGGTCAACCATACAGATTGTTGTCATATTCCTCGGTTACTTCATGGATACACATGATAGTGACACTGACAATTCAAAACAATAAACTATTGGAACAAGTTCAAACTTTTCAATGTATCTAATCAATGACACTATTTTCTATAATGAACAATTTTTATTCACTAATTGTGGATAAGTTCATTTTGTTCAACTCTGTTACTATGTTGTTTTATAACAACGTTTCTCTTCTAAATTCCTGTATTGGGACGAAACGATCAGCACATGTTGCCACCTGTCATTCTTTGCACAACTAAAAACTGATAACCACAGTCATGTAACATGTTAATATTTGTTTACTAAATATAGCTTGCGGCGGCGCGTTTTATAGCAAGCGCTAGTTAATGAAAGCACTTTTATTTTCAATATATATATATATATATATATATTTTTCATAATTCAAGTGGCTAAAATGGTTATAAATGGGAACTAATATACATATATTATTTTTTCGGTTTATTAATTTTCATTTTTATGCACCAGAATGCAGTTTATTAGGTATATTATACTGGTGATGAACACATCCAAATGTTGCCGGTGTTCGGGTAGGTTACACCAAACTCTATCCTTAGCCCTTTGATCCCCTTTAAAATCAATCACCCCTTGAGGGTTAGGTACCCGCTATTATAGATTCTATAGCGGCTCCTAATAATCTTAACACAAAAACATCAAGTAAAAAGGATGATTGGTTATGTGTCGAATATTTTGGCTACTGGAAACTGTCCTGGAACATTCACACACACTTTCACCCGCTACATTTTTATGTATTGATTCAAAAGCGAACTCACACAAGTGTCTTCAACAGCCATGTTCATGCCTCCCTCGTTCCTAACTATTATCCACATTATCCCTACCACCCTTTTCTTTGATTTAAATAATCTATGCACATTACCTTTAGCAATATATTGCAATATACGATATTGATTATCCAACTTAATCCTGTCCAAAATAGCAGAATAACTTCCATTTTCGTATTTCTGCTGGAAGGGCAACCTCCCTGTGGTGAATGCTGAGTAATGCTTATAGCGCTTTTGTAGCAGGGCGTGAAGTCAACCCACAGTTGACATCCCTACCTTGTCAGCTTGCTGACGGGGTTAACCTCTTTGGTCATGTGGACAAGGCGTCCGACCTCTGATCAGAAGGTCCGTGGTTCGAATCCCATCACTGGACTCGGAAATTTTATGGCCGCTACACTTTGATACACTTATCTTCTTATATTGCTATTACTTCTGTTTGAACAAGTTTATATGCTAAATGTACCATGTGTCCATTTGTTCTTATTTGAATAAATGTTTGAAGTTTGTATATATCTTGTTATTAACAGCATTATCGCTCAACAAAACACACACTGCAATACAAGACTGCCGAGATACGAAACAAACTACAGGTAGCGAAACTACTGAGATACGAACTGATCAGGATACGAAACCTGTGACAATACTTTCAGCCCAATCAGACCTTCAAACCTGCTTAGTTAGAAAAGTGGGAGGGTTTTGGAGCTGTTGAATCATGCTAAAAGGGAAATGTGTGACCCAAAAACTATCATCACATTTAAAACATGTTTGGCAGGTACAATTTATTCCTGTCATGTAAAATCTGTGATTAATATTTGCAAAACCTGCATTAGGCATAACAAAACTTGCATAATGACACTGCGTCTAACTGCACATGATCAGCTGATGCTTTCCGGATGTTTCACGCTGGGTTCTAAATCTGAAGTTTGGGAGTTCCTTCAAATCTGTGGTCACACATAGTCGTGCATTGTCATCCACCTAAGTTTATGATCCAGTGTCATATCATACACAGGAATATCGGCGTTTCAATCGACGCTTACCTTTTTTCACAAATCAAAATAGAAACGTAAATATGAGAATCATACAAACTGAACACAGTTGACAGTCTAAACTCACGCTCTCGTTTGACTCTCGGTCGTGGTTGGTTTTCTCGTGGTTGAGGGTTTTGTCTTGATTTAACAACCTTATCTTCGGCAGCTTGGGCAACCACCGGTTTGGGCCACGCGTCATCATCAACTTTAGGTGCACATGCCGCAAGCTCCTCCTGTAAACTTAGCGTGTTTCCACCCCCCTTCGAATCATGTTTTGATTCTGCAGTCGCCATATTGAATGACCTGACCTCCGACCTCTCGGTGTCACGAGAATATTGTTTTATTAACTACAACGAATACAACTATGAGTCAGAATGACAGATATCGCATTTCAACAGCTGCAAATATTAACCATTTGTTTTTAAAGGGGTTGTTCTAAATCTCGTCCACGCGAACTCGGAAATAGTTCGTCTGCACAAGACCACAGCGTGGCATGTTATGTTATCGCCCGGTTTGTAAACGATGATAGTTTGACCGTGACAACATACAACTAGTTTGAGATGATGTTGTTTTCACCAGTTAGACATCTTAGCAAACCAGTGACAACATATTTGACGCACTTTAGAAGAGGTTTACATTTAGATGACAGGTAAGTATGTTTCAACGAGAATGATGGTCGTGTAAATGTAGGCCTATAGGCCTAGACCTAGACTAGTTTTTAACATTTTGTAATAAGACACAGACGTTGACAGAAATGTTCGTCATCGGATAGGTTTGTTTTTCATCATTTTTGAATAATTCAAAGACCTTTCAAATAAAAGAATACGCGTCTGCATTAAATTGATAGAGTGATGCAGTGACTGCATTGGTCTCCACAACAAGTGGGTCCTTGGACGCGTTAGCTGCGAGCGCTCCAGGTGCAGGTTTGGGGGTCAATGTGCATGCACAAGCACTTTATTATTGCTTTATCATGTTTGTTGGGTATATCTGAATGTTGCATCATCTTGTTAGAGGATACAGATAGTAACACATAGAGAATATTCCATGATATTTCACTTGACACATAGAATATCTTATTCATTATATACTTTTGTGTAGTTGTCTACCGGAAAATGAATTATTTCATTAATGTCAAAGTTTGAAACGTAAATTCTCCCAACCTTATACACAAGGACGTTTCACCACCCCTTGTAATTGCGACTTAAAAAGTGGTTCCATTTTTGCAAAATCTTAAACAAATAGATCTATAAGCAAAAGTAGCAAAAAATATTTGATTTGATAAAAATCTTTATCATTCATATGGGACCCTGGGGTATTTTAGTGGTTCAGATGCTGAAGACCCGACTTCGATTCCCCACATTGGTGCAATGTGTGAAGTCCATTTCTGGTGTCCCCCAATGTGATATTGCTGGAATATTGCTGAAAACGCCATAAAATCATTCTCTCTCTCTCACTCACTCACTCACTCACTCACTCACTCACTCACTCACTCACTTTATCGTACATTTAGATATGATTACATACAAAATCAACTTCAACAAAAGATATTCTTGAAATCTACATGATGAATGACGAAGTTTATGACGAAACATTTTCAAGAGAATAACAAACGGCAAGAATTAAGCGACATTAGCTCCATAGATGTCATCTGTCATTATTTTGCCTTGTCAATGTGGAACTAACGTAAAAATGAAGTCTGTTTGTGTCTGGGTGAGACGCTGATGATAAAGGGGAGACAATGTGCGGGGAGGTGACTCTTGAAAGACAATAGTTCCGTGAAAGTGTCGTGGTCGCTGCAGTGAAAATACCACTTTTTTCAACTTCAGGAAACTCAGTCTGAAGTATACAATAAGTATGTATCTTTTTTGTATGCTAAGTCATCAATTTCTGTTACAAAGACAAGTTTCTTTGTACAGCCTAAGATGTATGGGATATTGTTCCGTTATGTGGATATTGAAGGATACATTCTTTGAACGAGGTAACTGCATGATATTATACAAATAACTTTTGTCGGTTGTAATTACGATATTCACGTTTTGTTTTCATTCAAGTAGCAAGAACGCAGGAGGCCTCAACAGTGACTAATGAAATTGTTTCATACTTAAAACATATCTGGCAATAGCAGTCACCTGTTCCAAAGTGCCACGCTTATGATTAGTATTTTAAATATTTATACCTAAAGCTCCATCTAAAATAACTTAATATTGGAATATAATATTTTTGATAAAATTGTAGTTTCAGATATAGTTCATCCTATTATGCATCAAAATTCTTTAAGTTATATATATATATATATATTTATTTTTTTCTAAACCCAATCGCTGGTAGATTGGTAGAAAATGTGTGTACAGCTGATTGCTATTTCTGGCAAGGTTTACATAACATACACGAGGTGATCTTTATTTCTGTTTATAAAACAGTGCCTCATGAACAGAAAAAAAAAAATTAAAATAGTAAAGCATCATGTCTAGTGATAATTTATCTCAAATTTCAAATTTATCTTGACCAAGTTTGTTGTCACTAGAGCTGCAATCAACACACAATGAGGCGAATATGATATGTATCACAAATATAGGGTATCGAATATGATTAGTTTTTCATGAATACAACTAGTCAGCAGTTGTTTATTATTTATTATATTCAATGAAACATACAGTGATCGCTCGTGAAAACGTTACCTTTGGGGGCCAAATATTTGATGAGCGTTATGGACGATCAGCAATTTAACTGCGGTAGAGTTGTAGATGCCCCACACAACAAACTACTTCATGGCTTGATTTTATTCCATTTTGCCTATCTTGCTTTGATGAATAAAAGACAACTTCAAGTCAAAAACACTCTTTTAATTTTTTTTGTAAAGGTTCGATTCTAGTGACCACAAATAAAGAATTCAATTCATGAAGGCAAACGGTTTACACGAGTGAATCGTAACAGCTCTAGTTATCACCTATTTCTTTACCTGAATTTTCTGAAGGGATACTATGTAGTTTTTACTGTATATATTAGGGGCGGTCGGGTAGCCAAGTGGTTAAAGCCTTGGCTCGTCATGCCGAAGCCCCGGGTTCGATTCCAGACATGGGTACAATGTGTGAAGCCCATTTCTGGTGTCCCCCACTGTGATATTGCTGGAAAATTGCTAAAAGCAGCGTAAAACCAAACTCACTCACACACTCACTGTATATATTAGGATGTTGACCGATATCGTCACCCTTTCAAGTCATGTATGTGCATTAATGAACCAACAACAAAAACACATGTCTGTTTTGCTGCAGATCTTTATTGTATATCCTTTGTTACAATTTCTCATTCTTCTATCCTCCGATTGATGTTGCTTCAAGATTATTGTATAATAAGCACATGTTGAATCTGCACAGAAAAAGCCAATCCATATGTCAATATTTTCAAAGTTGGAGTGTTGTTTCCCTTAATGGAGATATTGATGTATGCTGCTTGTGCCCTTTGTAGTCTAGGCAATATGTGTGAAACTGAGACAGCCTCACCATAATTAGATTAAGCATCAGCCATGTCAACTGCTAGATGGATACACAATAGTCAGCAGACAAAAAGGGGAGTTTGAATGTCCTGAATAAAAGTGGTTAGAGCTACCAATTGAAAGTTGTCATTCATTTCAGAGTTCTCTCCCTTACCTTGATGTTGCTTTGAACTTTCAATAAAGAAATATTCCCTTCTTTGGAAAGGTTTTATGCAAAAAAATACAATAGATTAAATACATGGGACAAAAAAGACATGGTATGAAAATACTATACACAAGTTAGTACAATAATATGTAGGTAATAGAAGATAAATGTGTGAAATATTGGCTGAACATACTAAAGATGCCAGACTTCTGTTTACCAGGAAAGTGCTACAATATGTTGTGCGTGTATGATGAACTTGGTCCTGTCAATTGGGTAACTAAATTAAGGAACTGTCTTTGTAAACTTGGGTTCAGATATGTATGGATGTGTCAAATGTATGGAAACCGAAAGGTTTTTCTTTATATGTTTCAACAACGTTTAAAAGACAATTTTCAGCAGATCTGGCATAGCAAACTTCTTGCAAGTTAAAAAATGTCACATTATGCTTGTTTTAATACTTTTGTTAGATGTGAACCTTATTTGTCATTCTTAAATTTGCAAAATATGAAAACAACCTTCACAAGATTCAGACTGAGTTGTCATATTTTGGAAATTGAGAATGGACGTCATTATAAAATTCCAAGAAATTTAAGAAAAAAAACTTTGTAAATTAGACTGTGTTGAAACCAAGTACCAATTCCTGCTTTTTTGTCCAACGTATGTCAAGTTACGGCAACTATATCTCAAAGCAAAGTTCTCTTGTCATCCTAATGTTCATAAATTTAATATGCTTCTGTCATCACCAGATACATATAATATTACAAATCTAGCAAAATATCTATACTTTGCAAATGAAGTAAGAAATGCGTTACTGAATGTTTAAAACCTGTCTGTACTCAACTTTTGTACACAAAGGCCTGTGGCCTATATGTATAGGAAATAAAATGATTGAATAGAAGATAAAACTAATTTGAATAGATTAAGAAATCTGAATGGACACCAAGACAAAGAGCTCTATGTACTTATACCAGAATACATGTACTTGTACATGCCACAAAACAGGTGGCGGTCATGTCAGGCTGCCCTGTCACAAGTAACCAGCCAGAATACAGGCTCACAAAAAATCACCCATAATGCTCATGGTGTCAAGCAAATTTGATTTATTTATGTATTTTCCAATATTCCCAAAGAGATGGTTTAAGGTAATTTTCTTTATTTTTTCCAATTTTTAATAGGACATTCCTCTGTTGGATTATCATTACCAAATTAAAGAGAAATAATTAGGAAATTTTGATTGAAAAAAAAGTGAATACGATTTTTCAATTGCATATCTTTTTGTCAATTGCATATATTTATGTTGATGTAATTAAATTAAATTATATTAACAAAATATGATATTGATGCCTTACCATGAATTTCTCTTCCAGTTATTACTACTCTTAGGTGTACCAGGTACTCTAAGGTCTGTGATAGATCACAAGTGCATTGTTAATGGTTTTGGATATAACGTGTGTAAATATTTTGCTATTAAATGTACAAATTAGTTGACCAATATATCTACATTATGAAGCAAGGATGGAAAGTATCACTTGACTGCTAGCTGGGGGTAAGCTGCCTTTCCAACTTTTTGTGTGTGGATTGTCATGTGGTATCAATATTCTGGCAAGTCCACATTCCAGGTTAATGTCTGTCACACAGTACATCCGCTGTTGGGTCACAATAATGCTGAGCTAGGTCTACGTTACTCGACAAGAACACAACTTATGCATGTTATGTCACATGTGCCTGCAAACATCAGCCATACTGTGGTAGACAAAGGATTTGAGATGTTAGAGGATTCAATCCTTTTACTATTCCTCTCTGCTTTCAGTTGATTAGAATCATTTCTGTCTCCCTCACACAGTTAGATCGTATCTTGTAGTAGAGGTGTAGGTTCATGTAGACTGTATACACATACATCGTATCTATGCCTGCTCAGTCAGGGTCAACACCATGAACTTGGTCCTAATACCATGGGTACCCGGTATTCTACATTGAATAAACCTTACCACACTTTGTTTTTAGTAGTCCT